CCCCGCGATGTCCCCCTGGCCTGGCCACAGGGAACCCCAGATGGGGAGGAAAGGACTGAGCTCCGGAAAGGCTCACCTGTCTCCGGCTTTATCTGGGAAAGCTCTCATGCGGAAGGGGTTTTACGGGGAACCATATGCTGATCTTCCCTGCCTGAACAGGGTCCCCATGGAGAAAGGATGAGAAATGAGACCCACGAATTATATAGGGTTGTTTTTTTTTTTTCCCAAAGGCCACTGGACCCTGCCCGGGGTTTGAAGAAAGGTTATCCCCACCTAGCAGGGCAGGGTATCCTCCGAGAAGGAGGCTTGCCGTGGCCGGGAGTGGCGAGAGGCACGTGGGCAGCTGTGAGTGGACCAAAGTGGGGAGGGCTTCTGGGTGCCCACCTGATGGACCAGGGGTCCGCGGAGAACTAAGGAAGGGACTTGGGCGCGGTAGGGTTTTTTTAGAACAAAATGGGTTTGGAGGAAAGTACGTTAGGAGTGGAGTGACAGCGTGCGTGCCCACACCTCTCCCTGGGTTCCTGTGACGGTGTGGCAGACCTGAGGCAGCCGGTGATGGCTCAAGTACTTGCGGTTCCTGTCCCCCTTGTAGAACCCTGGCTGGAACCCTACCTGCCGAGCTTCAGCCTGCCATTCCTGGCTGTGCATGGTATTTGAGGAATGGCCTAGAGGATGGAAGATGTTTCTTTGTGTCTCCCTCTATGTCCAACTCTACCTTCCAAGTAAATAAAAATTAACAAAAAATTTAGAAGGCAGCTCTCCTGAGACTCATCTATAGCCAAATGAGTCTCATGGAATCTTCTAAAACTGCAATGTTGTGACTGATTCGTTTCGGAAAAAAAGTTTGGCGGCATTAAGTTGATTGCCCAATAGCTTTCGAGACCAGAATCCTTTCTGGATCACAGGATCCAGGCACTTAGAAATGTTAAAACCTTCTCTGAATCAGCCCCCGACAATGGGTGCTAACCCATAAACTTGTAACATTACCTTGATGTGATCCTAGGCTAACTTGGGTAATGGGATTACTACTGCATTGAAATATACTACAGGTAATTTCCAATAAAGCCAATTTTCTTAGGCTGCAAACAATAAAAAGAAGGGTGGGGAGTGAGGGGAATGAGATCAGAAAGGATTTGAGCATGAATAGGAGATGGGCATTAGAAAAATAAAAACCTGTGGAAACACCCTGTGACTGCTGTTGAGGATGTAATAAGCAGTTCCCTGAGGTCGCTAGCACCTGACTGTGCCCCAGGGCTGCCCTGGCAAAGGTGGGGTCTCCGCCTAGAACTGTTTTCTCCAAGTTCCATGATGGTGATTTCCTCTCTGAAAAATCATCTCCAGTCCTCCTCCCCTCCCCACCGCAGTTGAATTCTTACAGGCAGAGCCCCACCCCAAAGCAGTCCCCCAACTGCCCTTACCTCCTCAAGTTGACCTCTGCTGCCATCCTGGACCCCTCTCTGGGATAACCTGCTGTGAAATGTCTCCAATGTTAACCCTGAGATATCTGCTGTCTCCAGGTGCTTCCTCCAAGATCTTACTCTTTCGCCTGCCTTTAATGGAATGATTTAAAAATAATAATAATTAGTGCCCATTTGTCAAAGGCTTTGGTTTTCCTACAGCTACAAATCCACAACCATGAGCCCAGCACAATAGCCTAGTGTCTAAACCTATGTCTTGCATCTCCTGGGATCCCGTGTGGGCACAGGTTTGTGTCCCAGCAGCCTTGCTTCCAATCCAGCTCCCTGCCTGTGGCCTGGGAAATCAGTTGATAGCCCAAAGCCTTGGGACCCTGCACGCAAATGTGAAACCTGCAGAAAGTGTCTAGCTTCTGGTTTGACAGGCTCAGCTTCAGCCGTTTCATCTGTTTGAGACATGAACCATTGGATGGAAGATCTTCCTGTCTCTCCAATAAAAGTAAATACAATTTTTTTAAAAACTTAAGGCCCGGCATGGTGGCCTAGCGGCTAAAGTCCTCGCTTTTTATGTGCCAGGTTCCCATATGGACGCTGGTTCTAATCCCGGCAGCTCCACTTCCCATCCACATCCCTGCTTGTGGTCTGGGAAAGCAGCAGTGCGGGAGTCCTGGAGGAAGCTCCTGGCTCCTGACTTCAGATTGGCTCAGCACTGGCCATTGCACTCACTTGGGGAGTGAATCAATGGACATAAGAGTTTCCTGTCTCTCCTCCTCTGTGTATATCTGACTTTGCAATAAAAATAAAAATTAAAAAAAAATTTTAAATCCTTAAAAAATGCCCATTAGCTTATTTGTTTTTTGTAGAAACCTCTTGGTGGTTGGCAAAAGGGAGAAATGAGGTTGGAAGAAGTTGGGCAGGTACCACAGGCCACTGCCTGCTTGGTGGAAAGGCCCAAGGCCTCTCTTTCAGGCCTAGGCCTCTTGGATGTGACAAGCTGACCCGGCCTTCTGCCGTCTTCCCACCATCTGGATCCCTCCCAGGACCGACCTTTTGTGCCAATGTGAGGGTTCTCTGGAAACTCTTTCCAAGTCTTGCTATTGGTTCTGATCCATTTCCTATTCATGTTTCTATTGGTGCTCTTGTCTGAAGCACCACCCTCCTACCTCTCACTGAGAAGTTTGCTTGCTCAGAAATTAAAACCTGTGGCTTAATCAGCTACTCTCCCTCCCCTCTCTCCAAAGCTCCAGCATCCCTCAGAGGTCCCAGCTGCTCTACTTCCCTTCCAGCTCCCTGCTTGGGACCTGGGAAAGCAGTAGAGAATGGTCCAAAGCCTTGGGACCCTCCATTATCATGGAGGGCAGTCACACCAATCACAGCACTGTGTGCCTAACAACTGGCTCAGGGTGCTATGGTGGCAGGGACTCAAAGGAATTATCTGCTTCCCTCAAGATTCATTCGCCAGAAGGTGGTGGCAAAAAACGTTACAAGTGGTGGTTTAACTTGCTGTGCCACAGCACCTGCTCTTTAACCCATAAGCGATGGTATCAGGACTCAAACACCTGCATAATTATCTGCATGCTGAAGCTCCCAAGAGCCTAGTTGATATATGCAGGGTGCTATGAGCCCAAGTTTCCAACCTGTAGACCTTGCTTAATTTTACTCAGCAATGGGAACAGCCTATTTTTGCTGCCCAGTGCTTGCAACACATACACAAACCCTGGCACTCCTGTACATTGGAACGTTCAGTGACACAGAACTGCAGTGTGGTAGGAAAGGAGCCCAGCCTGGTCCCGAAGAACAGGATGCCCGCGTCCGTGTGCAGGCCTCACTGCCAGTTGGGGACCTGGGCGGTAACTGAGCTTCACACCCTTGCTCCACACTGGGAAGTGGCAGGGATCCTATGTAGCTCTCCCATGGTACAACCCACTGGAGATGTTCCACCCACTTCCAGTACAGTACCAACATGTGGGCCATCTACTGCTGTGGTTAACAGTTCTCCGCCTAAATCCCCTTACAGATGCTTTCCTGGGGTATGGCAAAACTGAAATGGGTCCAGCACTTTGCACAAGATCGCATAGCTTCCTGCTTGCGGCCTGTGAAAGCAGCCCAAAGCCTTGGGGTCCTACACCCACATGAGACCTGGAAGAGCTCCTGCCTCCGGAATGACTCCGCACCATCCGTTATGGATAACTAGGGAATCACTGGACCTTTCCTCTTATAAGTGAAATGATTAATCTGGTGTCCCTCACCCCATCTCCTGGCTTCCTCTCGGGAGCTGTTTTTCCCAGAAAAGCTTGTGTGCAAGTTTCCCGGTGTTCATGACTCAACTAAGACTTTGCCAGGGGTCCAGGATGCAAGAGTCCTTGAGCAGGCAAACCTAGGCTATCACTTTGTGCATCCCACACCTCCAGGAGCCTTACCAGAATGACACCCTGTTTGAACAGCACTAACACATCAACACCATGTAACCGATACAGAAAAGGATGCAGGATATCCCAAGAGGGGGCTGGCCTGAAACCACCCAGGTCTGAAGTTTTGGCCACACTAACTGCTGAAGAGGCCACCAATGAGTAACATCTTACTTAGATTCCCGCCCAACAAGGAGGGCTCAGTGGAGTAAAACCCAAAGACCCTCCCCTTTGAGTCACCCCATCTCCTGGCTCTCAGGAGGTGCTTCCCCTTTCCAGTTCCCTTAACTGCCTACAGAAAAGTGAACCAACTCAAACACTCACTAGCAGCTGTTCAGTAGTTAAGGTTTTACCTTCTAGATGGTTCCCTGCTGGCTGCCATCCTCCAAAGCTTCTGACTTTTAATGCTGGGAGCCACACAGGTTCAAGAGAGCCATTGTGACTCACCCATGCACATCAATGGATGAAACCACTGAGCCTATCTGCCAGCAGACAGCACTACTGTGGAAACTGACCCCTAGGCCTGCAGTTCTGAAGCCCCTGTCGCCTGGGGCAGTACAGCGGAGCTGAGACAGAGATGTGTAGCAGGGGCTGAAGGACTACCAGGTTGGAGGCCACCACAGCAACTTGTCCTCATGAAAAAACCAGATATGAAAACGCCTTTATTTTGCCTTTCAAATAACAGACATTTTCACAAACAGAAACCACCTTTATTGAAATTCACAATAAATACATCTCTGATGAACTATAGATATTTGCAGAAATGTGTCTAGTATGAGGAGCGATTTGAAGGTCATCACAGACAGCCCCCTGCCTGGTGCCATTCTTTCTCAGTTCACAAAACTCACGCTGGCCTAGCCATCCACCAATTGGATGTAACCCAGCATGTGGCCCATTCTCCCAACCCATCCACTCACCGGTGATCCCCAGGCATTCACCTGCAGGAAGCAGTCCCACCAGCCCTCACATTGCAGGCTCACAAAAAGGCCCTCCTCCCATCCACCTTGTCCTGTTCCTGCCCTGCTGGAATAAGCCTAAGACACCTCGTTCCGCCTGTGGTTTTCAGCTCAGAACCAGGCTGCAGGAACCAGCAGCATGTAGTTACATTGTAATATCTAGAACCATTTTAAATAACATCCAGTCAGACATGAAATTATAAATCTCCAATAGCATTTACCACCATCGATGTCCAAACACCACACTTGGCTCCTTTGCTCTCCTGAAAAAGAGAAGCGTTAAGATCAGAGTCAACCACGATTTCCTCGTGAGCAGGTGCCCCAGCAGCGAGCAGAGAGCTGTTTCCTGCATGGTTTATCTCCCCAGTCACGGTCCATGGACTCTGGGAAGCTGTAGGAATATGCAGGCGCAGACCCGAGGCCCGGCTTTCTCTCCAACGTCGTGGAAGGGGACTGTACGTCACAGGGCAGAGCCCTCAGCTCCCATGTGCCACCAGGACAGGGCCCGGGGAGAGTGACCTCCCGGGATGTCCACGTTGGGATGTCCCACGGAAAAGCCTCAGGGTTGTTAGCAGCTACAAAGAACTCCACAAAGCATCACTATTTCAAGATTTATTGGTCTTTAGAAACTATGGCCAAGGGCACACATGGTCTAGCTTTAGAGAGCAGCTAGATAGCTTATGACAGTAAAAAAACGACAAATAATGCCTCAAATTTAACTTACCCCACAAACGCTGCTGCAGTCAAATGCAAGTTCTGTAAGAAGAAAGCAACTCGTCAAAGCAGTCAAACACAGGAGGCAGTTAGCGGTACACGGACCGTTTTTGAACGTGTTTCCTGCATGGTTTGTCTCCCCAGTCATGGTCCATGGACTCTGGGAAGCTGTAGGAATATGCAGGCGCAGACCCGAGGCCCGGCTTTCTCTCCAACGTCGTGGAAGGGGACTGTACGTCACAGGGCAGAGCCCTCAGCTCCCATGTGCCACCAGGACAGGGCCCGGGGAGAGTGACCTCCCGGGATGTCCACGTTGGGACAACCGGCGCCAGGTAGCTCTGCACGTGCAGGCCAGCGCTCGCCAGCCCGGCCGTGTGCATGCTGGTGACTCCAGAACCTGACGCCCGAATTTCAGCACCTCCCCGGTAACCGGAACGCAGCCCGCGTTTCCCCTCAAAGCTTCCCCTGAAAATCTGGACGGGTCAGAACTGCTCCGCAGCGCAAGCAACCCGGCCGCCGTCCGATGGGCCTCCGCTGCCCCGATCTGGAGCAAGGAGACTGCAGGTCTCGTGGACGCCACCTGCCCGAACAACGCGCCCGCAGAAAGCAGCCTGGAACCGACGGTGGGAGCAGCAGCCCGCCAGGGACGCGGCTCGTGGCTAAGGCTGCCAGCCGACGGGGGCCATGAGCCAGGAACACTCACCAGGAACGAACCATAGCAGCTAGACGATCCCGCCGAAAGACCGAGGGCCAGCGAGGAGTCCTCATTTATACCGTAGGAAACGCCCGGACGTTACGCAATGCCTGGTGCGCCTGCGCAGCCGCATGCGCGCTCGCGGAATGGGCGAGTCGCCGAGCGCCGCAAATGGCGTCTTCCGCTCCGTTTTCCGTGGGCGGGTCGTCCTGGGGCGGGAGTCCAGCAAACGAGTACAGGAGTTGGTAATCCGAGAAGCTGGCCAGAAAACGTTTAGCGGTGATACGGGAGTGAAGCCAAAATAAAAAATTTAGTACAAAAAGGGACGACATCTACGGTAGTCGAATTCGTTAAGATTTGAAAGCCTCCGGTTGGTTAATAAACTTCGGTGGGCAAAACCCGTGCGTTGGCTCAAATCAGGGGTCAGCGGCCCAAGCTGTCCTGAAAGGCATTTTTAAAAAATCCTACTTCTTTTTATTATTATTTTATGATACAGTTCCGTAGGCCCTTGGATTTCCCTTAGCCCCTCCTCCTCATTGAATCCCCTTATATCATTACTATAGCGAAAGGCATTCTTTTCAGTCACGAAATCGGTTCTAAAAAATATTCAGTCTGCCCTGCTTTGGTTCACTTCCCGCAGAACCCCCTACACCGGGCTGGTGAAGCCAGGAACCAGAACAGGTCCCCGGGTCTTCAGCATGGGGCCAGGGACACAGCCACCGCTCCTGTCCCCCCCGGATCCCGCGTGGAGCGCAGGGTCTGAGCCAAGCACCCCCTCGGGGAAGTCTGCGTCCTGACCAGCTCTCCCTGGCTAACCACACTCCTGCCTGGGAGCAAACATATGCAGCTTATAAAGCCTCAGCTTCCAAGTATCGCCTTAGTATTTTATGGGATAAAGGCAGGCATGACATGGGCACCTGGCTCACTGACGGGGGATGGAGTGGTGAGCTGAAGTAGCGCTTTTCATAGAGTAACATTTGACTGGAAGGAATGGCATTGGTGTGTTTTTTGGTTTATTTTGGTTTTTTTAGCTCTGTGCGTTTTTTGCACAAACTTTTTTATTCTCTTTATATAGAGAGAGGAAGAGAGACAGGAAGATCTTCCATCCAATGATTCACTCCACAAATGACTGCAATGGCTGGTGCTGTGCCTATCCAAAGCCAGCAGCCAAGAACTTCTTTCCTGGTCTCCCACACGGGTACAGGATCCCAAAGCTTTGGGCTGTCCTGGACTGCTTTCCCAGGCCACAAGCAGGGAGCTGGATGAGAAGTGGGGCCACCGGGATTAGAACTGATGCCCATGTGGGATCCCGGCACTTGCAAGGTTAGGACTTTAACCACTAGGCTACTGTGCCCGGCCCTGCACAAACTTTAAAACCAAACCTCCTCACCACCCCTAAACTGGTTGAACACACAGGACAACTGACTTCTATGAAACCAGATGCAGAACACATGTGCAAGAATTCTAACATTGCTGTTCTTGCGCATTATTATGGGAAAATAGTTTGTGCATAAAAATACATGAACTGAGATGGCTGTGTAGTACAGTGGTCAAGTTGCTGACTATGATCTCATAGAACTTTCGGGACCAATCCTGGTTGCTTGGCATCAGTCCAGCTTCCTGCTCATGACACTGGGAGGCAGCAGGTGACAGCTAAGGACATGGGATGCAGGTACCTCCATGGTGTTGGTTCCTGCTGTGGGCCCGGCTTAGCCCTGGCTGCCGCAGGCATTTGAGGAGTAAAGCAGCACACAGATCTCTCCGCATTTGTCTGTCACTTCACCTTTCGTATAAGATGAAAACAGGGCCTGGCACCGTAGTCTAGTGGCTTAAGTCCTCATCTTGAACGTACTGGGATCCCATACGGGCGCTGGTTCTAACCCTGGCAGCCCCACCTCCCTTCTAGCTCCCTGCTTGTGGCCTGGGAAAGCAGTCAAGGACGACCCAAAGCCTTGGGACCTGCACTTGTACGGGAGACCTGGAGGAGGCTCCTGGCTCCTGGCTTTGAATCAGCTCAGTTTTAGCCGTTGTGGTTGCTTGGGGAGTGAATCAGTGGGCAGATGATCTTTTCCCTGTCTCTCCTTCTCTCTATAAATTTGCCATTCCAATAAAAATAAAAATTAAAAAAAAGAAAATTAAAATATGTGTACTATCACTATGAACATGTAATGGAATTATTTTGATATGCACTAATATTTTCATTTATTTATTTATTTATTTTACAAAGCTAGTTATACAGAGAGGACAATTCATCCAATGATCCACTCCTCAAGTGATTGCAACGGCCGGTGCTGAGCTGATCCAAAGCCAGGAGCCAGGAATGTCCTCCTCAAGATCTCCCACTCAGGTGCAGGGTCCCAATGCTTTTGGCCATCCTCGACTGCTTTCCCAGGCCAACAAGCTGGAAGCTGGATGTGAAGCAGGGCTGCTGGGATTAGAACCGGTGCCCAATATGGGATCCCGGCACGTTCAAGGAGAGGACTTCAGCTGCTAGGCCAAGGTGCCAGGCCCAATATTTTAAAATTTCTTGCGTTCAACTTTCGCACAGTAAGTAGCAGATTGCCCTGTTCATGTTTGCATTTTAGTAACCCTAGGGGGCCACAAGGTAGGAGAGATGGGGAGACTGGTGGGGACTGCATTTTAGAAGTCCCATGGGCCCGGCGCAGTGGCGCAGTGGTTAAGGTCCTCGCCTTGCACGCCCGGGATCCCATATGGGTGCCGGTTCTATCCTGGCAGCCCCGCTTCCCTTCCAGCTCCCTGCCTGTGGCCCGGGAGAGCAGTCGAGGACGGCCCAAGGCTTTGGGACCCTGTACCCGCGTGGGAGACCCAGAAGAGGCTCCTGGCTTCGGATCGGCATAGCATCGGCCATTGCGCTCACTTGGGGATTTACTCATCAGACGGAAGACCTTCCTCTCTGTCTCTCCTCTCTGTATATCCGCCTTTCCAATAAAAATAAAATAAATCTTTAAAAAAAAAGAAAAAAGAAGTCCCATGAAGGGGCCCGGGGTGATAACGCAGTAAAGTCATCACCCTGAACACACGAGGATCCCATATGGACGCAGGTTCTAATCCTGGCAGCTCCACTTCCCTTCCAGCTCCCTGCTTGTAGCCTGGGAAAGCAGTTGAGGACGGCCCAAAGGCTTGGGACCCTGCACCTGCGTGGGAGTCCTGGAGGAAGTTCCTGGCTCCTGGCTCCAGACTGGCACAGCACTGACTGTTGCAGCCGCTTGGGGAGTGAATCATTGGATGGAAGATCTTCCTCTCTGTCTTTCCTCTTCTCTGTATATCTGACTTTGCAATAAAAATAAATAAATCTTAAAAAAAAAAAAAAAGGCCTCTGCGCACGCATTGGCTCTCTGGGCTGCGGGCCGGCTCAGCGACCTCGTCTTGTCGGAGCCGCTCACTGCATGGTAGAGTGTGGTGCCCCCGCCGCCTGCCCTGCATCCACCGCTGCCGCCTGTGTTGCCGCCGCCTCGGGACCGGCTGTATGATTAGGCCACAATCTTCAATGAGTAAACATATTCCTCAGTTCTGTGGTGTTCTTGGCCACACATTTATGGAGTTTCTGAAGGGCAGTGGAGATTACTGCCAGGCACAGCACGACCTCTATGCAGACAAGTGAACTGTAAAAATTCAATACTGCTCCACCAAGAAGTCCCAGTAGAAGTGGTTAACTTGGACACAGAAGGATTGAATTGAAATCCACAGAGCATTTTAGAAGAGTTCTGACCTGGTTGGGGTAGACCTCAGTGCACTTCCTTCCTGTTGCCTCAGTATCACTGGATTGAAGAATTGCTGCTTCTTGTTAGGAGGTTCATTTCATTTCCCATTACTTCCAACTTCATACTCAAAGCACTGAGAATCGCAAGTGGAGGATAGTGAAGTACACTTCAGTTTCTTTACGGAATTTCTGTATTCAGGTTTTTTTTTTTTTTAATTTCAATACCCTAGTAAGTGTTTTTTTTTAAGTAAATTAACATGGCTCGAATGAACCGTCCTGCTCCTGTGGAAGTCACATACAACAACATGAGATTTCTTATTACACATAATCCAACCAATGCAACATTGAACAAATTCATTGAGGAACTTTAGAAATATGGAGTTACCACAATCGTACGAGTGTGTGAAGCGACTTATGACACTACTCTTGTGGAAAAAGAAGGCATCCATGTTCTTGATTGGCCTTTTGATGATGGTGCACCGCCGTCCAATCAGATTGTTGATGACTGGTTAAGTCTTGTGAAGATTAAATTTCGTGAAGAACCTGGTTGTTGTATTGCTGTTCATTGTGTTGCAGGCCTTGGAAGAGCTCCCGTGCTTGTTGCGTTAGCATTGATTGAAGGTGGAATGAAGTGTGAAGATGCAGTACAGTTCATAAGACAAAAGCGGCGTGGAGCTTTTAACAGCAAGCAACTTTTTTTTTTTTTAAGATTTATTTTTATTATTTTTTCATTGGAAAGGCGGATATACAGAGAGGAGAGACAGAGAGGAAGATCTTCCGTCCGATGATTCACTCCCCAAGTGAGCGCAACGGGCCGATACTATGCCGATCCGAAGCCAGGAGCCTCTTCCGGGTCTCCCACACGGGTGCAGGTTCCCAAAGCTTTGGGCTGTCCTCGACTGCTTTCCCGGACCACAGGCAGGGAGCTGGAAGGGAAGCGGGGCTGCCAGGATTAGAACCGGCGCCCATATGGGATCCCGGGGGTGCAAGGCGAGGACCTTTAACCACTTGCGCCACCGTGCCGGGCCCAGCAAGCAACTTTTGTATCTGGAAAAATACCGTCCTAAGATGCGGCTGCGCGTCAAAGATTCCAATGGTCATAGAAACAACTGTTGCATTCAATAAAACTGGGGTGCCTAATGCTGTTGCCTTGGAAATAAAAGAGACGGGATCTAATTTGACATACATACTGGTCAACATTTTGGCTAGGTGAATAAGTTTAATGATGCTTCCTAAGGGTAATGGAATCAGTTTAGCAGGCCACAAGTTTGACAGAATTGCAACCTCTGGATCATAGCCAACCTGTTTGGACATTTAGCAAAAGATTCTTGCTGTTTAGCATTTAAAATGTGCTTATCATTTGTACCAGTTGACCTTTCCTGAAATCATGCAGTATTGAGATGTATCCTAAGTCTGTCCCATGCCAGAATTTTATCAGTACACAAGAAATTTAGAAAATTTAGGTGCAAAAATATCCAGCACAGTACTTGTATATTTACTACCATACAGAATTAAAATCCCATGAACTATGAACTCTCGACCTTATGTGGTTTCTTCCTTTAGTCATTTCAGACATGGAAAGTAGGGACTATCTGGTTATTCGCTTGCTTTTACTTTATGTCTCCCACATTCATACCAGTGTACATCAGGTTTGCTTAACCATTGATTTTTTTTTTTACCAATTATTATTTAATATGTTTCTATAAATTTATTTTTTGCTATTAATAGAAAACCTCCATTTGGAAAATCTACATTGTACAGAGGCACATGTTTTTAAAGTCTTCAGACAAAAAAACAGCCTTACAGTTAACTTAATGTTTGCATTCAGAGGTGCAGCTTAACAGGGAGGGCCTGAAAAAAAAAAAGAATGGGAGGGGGCTATTAAATATTTTTTAGTAAAACGTTGCCTTTGTCTTGTGCAGAACATGTAGAATATGCTCTTTAATTTGGTAAATATTTTTTAAGAGGTAGAGATGCTTTGTTATACCTTAAAATTCTTAATCATAAAATTTCTGAAATTCCTGTAATTTTTCCATACTTATCAAAAGTTGTTTACCAACTTATTTTGTTTGAAGTGTGATTTTTTTCTTCTCAACCTCTTGGCAAAAAAAAGTGGGTTTCTGCTTATGGTTTGAGCAGACATCTAATATTTTATATGCCTTTTGAGCTGTGTAACTTAATATTTGAATACTTGATAATTTGTTTTATTATGTAATTGATAAAATGGTGATGTGTATTAATGTTAGTTCAACCATATATTTATACTGTCTGGGAATGTGTGGTTATAATTCTGTGGGAGAAATAATTTGTCAGTGTTCACCAGCTTGTAAAAACTTAGTGCAAGAGCTTAAGCATCTAAATAAATAATGAAATGCATTTATCATTGAAATAAAAAGGAAAAAAAAAAGTCCCATGAAGGCCGACCTTGTGGTGTAGCAAGCAGGCTTGTAAGAGCTTAGAATAACCGCTTGATTTTGCTTCTGCTATTTTTTTTTTTTGCCAGTTTTCTTTTGCTTTTGATTTTTTTTTTGTTTTTTTTGTTTTTTTGTATTTGTTTTGGTTTGTTTTTGCTTTGCCTACTTTGCCTTGTTATCCCATATGGGTGCCAGTTTGAATCCTATCTGCTTCATTTCCCATTTGACTCCCTTCTAATATGTTAGGGAAAGCAGTGGAGGCTGGCACAAGTCCTTTGGCCCTTGCGCCCATGTGGGAGACCAGAAGAAACTCCTGGCTAGCCAGGAACCAGAGAATGAAAGATCTCTCTGTCTCTTTCTTGATGAAACTTTCACGTAAATGAATAAACCCATCCTTTCTTTGGACTCAGGTGGTTAGCAAGGTGAGAAGCGAGGAGTTGAGAGCCGTTCCAGAGGCAGGGAATGCACAGCATGTTTCAGTTCACTGAACCTCATGGGTAAGAGAGGAGATCAAGGATGCCCTCGGAGTGTGGGCATTGGGAAGCTCAACAGTGGTGTTTTCTAACTCTAACCTTTGGGAAAACAGGCTGGAAGTGCAGACTGGATGCAGTTATCTGGGTAACATCTGGTGCATGTGTCCAAAGGGCAATGGAATAGAAGGCGCTGGAGCTCGAGCAAGAGCTCTGAATTGCGGAGAAAAAGCTTCCACGTTGTCTGAGTGAAGGCCGTGCTTGGTCATCCCGGGAGCGCAGGGGATGTGGTGAGAGAGTGTGCACGTTCAGCATTTACATCCTGGGCATCATCATCAGAGAACTGGAGCTCAGGGAAGGGGCCGGTGTGGCTCAGCAGGCCGACTGGAGCTACCCCACTTCTGATCCAGCTTCTTCCTAATCAAAACCAGAGGGAGGAACAGGTGATGGTGCAGTTTCTGCTGCTGGCTTTGGCCAGGCTCAAGTCTGGCTGTTGCAGCCACTTGGGGACTGAACCAAGGGATGGAAGATCTCTCCTCCTCTCTTCATTCTTTCAAGTAAATAAATATTCCCTCCCATCCCTCCAAGAAATAAAAGGTAGAACTAGGAAGATGACTTTGATGTATTATATTTTTATTGGAAAGGTAGATTTATAGAGAGGAGGGAAATATCTTCTGTCTACTTCCAAGTGGTCACAATGACTGGAGTTGAGCCCATCGAAACCCAGGAGCTTCTTCCTGGAAGTGGATTAGACAATTGAACCAATACACCAGCCCCCTTCATTTTTTAAAAAAATGTTTAATTACAAAGGTGAAGGGATTGCAGACCCACGGAGGCCACTGATGTGGATGGAGAGGAGGGGTGGTTGGAGTACCGGGTTGAGAGGAATGTCTTCCCTCCTGTGTCCACTAGGCGGGGTGAGTAGGGTGCGTGCTGCTCCTTGGGATCAGACTAAATTAGTGGCTTGGGCTTTTTCGATGGGAGGTGGCTAAGAAATAAGAGGACAGGAGGGCAGTGGCAGGTGATTTTTGCCTTTCAGATGACCTGTTCGCTCTAGATGAAGACACAATTCTCAGAGCAGGGTGGGGTGTTGATAGGATTAACCACACCCACACAAGACCAGACACATGGTGCAACAGGTCTGACTGCTGTGGTCCCTGTTTATTTTTTTTTAAGGATTTGTTTATTTTTATTGCAAAGTCAGATATATAGAGAGGAGGAAAGACAGAGAGGAAGGTCTTCCGTCCGATGATTCACTCCCCAAGTGACCTCAACGGTTGGTGCTGTGCCGATCTGGAGCCAGGAGCCAGGAACTTCCTCCAGGACTCCCAGGCAGGTGCAGGGTCCCAAGCCTTTGGGCTGTCCTCAACTGCTTCCCCAGGCTACAAGCAGGGAGCCGGATGGGAAACGGGGCTGCCAGGATTAGAACCGGTGCCCATATGGGATCCTGGTGTGTTCAAGATAAGGACTTTAGCTGCTAGGCCAAGGTGCCAGGCCTGTGGCCCCTGGTTTTCCCTACAGGTCCACGAAGGTTGAAAGTGCACAGCACCTGGAAACTGAGGTCTGGGTTGTGTTTTGACTTCAGGGCAAGCCCCTCGCCCCCTCTTTTGTGTGTGTGTGTGTGTGTGTGTTCTCATTTTTCATAAGATCTTCACTCATACTATATACATTCCCCATCCCACCCCTCTTTCTAGGATTTATTTTTGCATTTAAAAAATTACTATTGGAAAAAAAATTTACACAAAGAAAAGATAAAGATCTTCTATCTTTTGGTTTGTCCCCCTCCCCCAATGGGTACAACAGCTACAGCTGCCAATCCAAAGCCAGAAGTTTCTCCTGGGTTCCCCATGTGTGTGTAGGGTTCCAAGGACTTAGGCCATTCTTCACTGCTTTCCCAGGCCACAGGCAGGGAGCTGGATGGGAAGGGGAGCAGCCAGGACATGAACCAAGGAACCATACCCGTATGGGACACTGCGCTTGGAGGTGGAAGATTAATCCATCCTGTATTTGTTACAAGGCTCCTCCACTCTGTGTTTATGTGCTGGTGAGGAGCTGTGCCATGGCGTTCCTCCGGCTTTCTCTTCATCCAGGATTCCCTCACAGCACCAGATCCTCCTGCCATTTAAAGAAAAACAAATTTGTGTGGGTGGCTGGGGTCCAAGGACTTGAGTCACTGTGTGCTGCCTTCTCCAGGGAGCTGGATCAGAAGCAGGAGCCAGCACTTCCACCTGAGATGCAGGCAGTGTCCCAAGTGGTGGTTTTTGCTGTCACAGTGCCCACCTCTAAAGCTGCCTTTATTTTTTGTTAAGATCTATTTGAACAAAAAACCCAAAGCAAAGCAAAACAAAACAAAAAAGATTTTACTTGAAAGGCTTTTAGAGACAAAACAAAACAAATTTATTTGAAAGGCAATTTGAAAGGTAGAGATCTTTACGCTCTGGCTCACTCCATAAAGAACTGCAAGGGGTGGGGCTGGGTCAGGCCTAAGCCAGGGGCTTCATCTGGGTCTCCCACGTGTGGTAGGGATCCAAGCACTTGGTGCCCCTTTCTGTTGCTCTCCCAGGCACGTAGACAGGGAGCTGGACTGGAAGTGGAGCTGTCAAGATTTGATCCCCAATGGCAGCCCCTAGGTCTGATAATGGTTTTCCAAACCTCTTTCTTCCGGGGTGCAGTTAACCTAACCCCCTAAAGCCAAAATGCACGATTTCAGCAGCCACCCGGCGCTGTGTTTGTTCCAGCACACAGCCTTCTCAAAACAGTTCAAACTGTAATTTTTTGTGGTTATTTAGCAGACAGAACCCACTGACAGGAAACATCCTGACTCATGGTTTCTCTTAACCCGATGAAAGGGCTGCGTTCTAAACAAGAGTCAGAGGTGACAAGTATGAAGTGAGTCACAACTAAGGCCACCTGGACTGAAACTGGGCTGCTTGTCACAAAGGAAGCCACCAAATCCCGGCTGTGTCTGGGTGTGGTTGGTCTGTGGAACAGTCGTCACATGGTTGAGGGACACATTCGCAGCAGGCCAGCCGAGTGGGGTGTGCAGAGCAATTACACCACATGCTGTGACCTCGGTCTTGTCACAGTGGAGTGAGTGCACTTGCCCTGCAGGTAAGGAGTGGGCTCAGTGGTACAGGATCCGGGAAATGTGGGGGTCACGGCTGGATCTCCTCTTGGGGGGGGGGGGGTCTGTGCAACCACATAACAGACCCTTACCCACCAGTACACAAAATGTCCCGATTACTCCCCCATCTGATGTCAGCCATTGGCGTGGTTCTAGGTGTTAAGTTGGCTCAAATCTTTTAGAATAGTCATATCTAAGAAACACCTCACACCAGAATTGTACAGTTTGGCATTTTAAAATTCTAAAATACTTTAATGATTACTACTGATGGGAAGACTGATATACAACATAATGATTTATTTAACAAGGAGGGTCTGTACATCAGGGAATCATCTCAAAGTACACTAGGCTGTTATTTATTTATTTTATACATGATTGTTTCTGTGACAGTACCCATTTATACAGAAAGGGAACATGAAATTCATTTTTATGTACATGACTCCTAAATAAACACCTGAAAAGACTTGATCTCGAGTGTCCTGTTTCAAGAACGTGAGATGAAAGCTCATCCAGATTCCTTGGTGGCATGTGGAAGGTGGACAAGCGGGTCAGGGAACCAAGTTCTGTTTCAAGGTTGGCACATTGAGGGAAGGAAGGCAGTGGAAGGACTTGAAAAACATTCCAGGCCACAGAGATTGCAGGGGTACACCAAGCACTCCCCAAACTGTAAAGACCAGGCAGCAGTTCCTGTGCGGCCAGCTTGTATTCCACAGATCAACAGGCTCACTGCTGACCTCTTAAGTTAGTGCACGTGCACCGAGTGCAAGATGTAGTTGTGGTGTTGTCTCTGTAGCCAGAAACATCTGTCACTCAGCACTCCGATTCCTTCCTGTTCCCGCAGAGAGAAGACACTACAGTTTAAGGCCACTTTAGCTTTTATGTTTTAACCTGATATTCTGATTCTTTAGTGAGTGTTAAATAGACAGGAAAGGATGAAACTCTAATGAAAAGTACATACAGAACAAATACAAAATCAATCATTAGAAATCTACAAAATAACCACAATGCCCTAAACATCAAGTGAAGGAAAAAGCCACAGTCCTGTTAGAAGTTATTCTTTCCCACTTACAGTCTGGTTAGGAATTAGATGGAAAACAGTGAGGCTGATTGGTTTTCAATAAAAATAAAAATTTTGTTTTAAGAAATCATATTGATATATTTATAAATACAAAAGGGAGTGGGGCTGGGCTGCCACCCAGGTAACTAACCATACTGGCTATTGCATGGCTGGCGGCAGGGGGCTAGGGTTGGTGAGAGGGTCGGGGCTGGCAGGAGGGCCAGTGCAACAGCAGAGGGCACACAGCACTGGGAAGGAGAGGAGCAGGGGCTGCATTAAGCCTGCTCATTCTCACAGACCTGCTCCCGGGGCTGACCCCTCAAACCCTTAGAGCTGTGTCGGGATTCCGGCTGGAGTGGGGCCAGCAGCCCAGAGGTGTGCCCACAGAGCTGCCACAGCTCCACTTTCTAGAGGGATGCATGGCAGCACTGCTTGGAGGTAACACAAATATCAGAGCCACTGGTCAGTTTTTGGCCAAGTTGGCATTAATAGTAAGGCCTTTCCTTGTTTCTGTATGTAGAAAAAATACATGTTTTTCATTTAACCAGCTTGGATTCTGGTTGCAGCTCAGACTATTTATGACAAGCAAAACCACGTTCCTGTGACACCCTCCAGAGCACTTGCAAATACAAGCCAGGCCGATGCAAGAGGAGCAGCGCGTCAGAGCCTGACCAGCCCCAGGCTTGAGTGCCTGCAGAGAATTACAGTGCTATTTTCCAGGAGGCTTGGTGTCTGCTTTCAGCCGGCATGCGACAAAGGCATCCCTCGAGGTGGCCGCTCCGATGTGGAAGGACCCCCAGAAGGTTCTTGCCACTACTGGCTGCTCTGATGGCTGTTTCATGCCTGCACAGAACTTGGGCAGGGCAGGTAAGGTTAACGGTACCTACTGAGAACAGTCACCAGAGGGTGAGGGGGACAGGGAGCCAATGAAACCCAGAACCAGCAAGTGGCCCAGAATGCTGGTGGCCGGGCAGGTAAGCTGCAACACGGAAAAGCTCAACAGCACCGACAGAGGGTTCCCTTTTGCCCCCAGGGCAGCACAGAGAACCCCATCCAGTGAAATGCTACATTCGTACAAGCGTTGTTCATCCCACAACAGTTCTGGGGGTGCAGAGAAGTGCTGAAGTCCCTTCCACATGTCACCCTGGAGACAGAAGCAGTAAAGCAGCCTTGTGTGCGGGGACAGGTCATCCAGCTCCTCTCTCACACTCAATGTCATGGACGATGGTAGCTAAAACACATGACCAAGAAGAGAGCAGGTTACAGGATAACAGTAAATTGCTACGCTGTTATTGCATACTGGCAATGAAATCTTGTAGCCTAAGTTTTTTGGTGTGTGTGTTTGTGTAGTTTTTGTTTTAGACAATTTATTTATTTTTATTGGAAAGGCAGATTTACAGAGAGAAGCCAGAGAGCCAAAGATTTCCATCTTCCCGAAACGGCCACACTGGCCTACAGATGAGCTGATCCAAAGCCAGGAGCCGCCTCCTCCAGATCTTCCAAATGGGTTCAGGGTCCCAAGGCTTTGGGCCATCCTCTGTTGCTTTCCAGTAGCCTAATGTCTTTGATTATTTATTTTGCAAGTCAGAGAAAGGTAGGGGTGAGAGGAAGAGGGAGAGGGAAGGGAGAAAGAGATCTTCTATCCACTAGTTCGTTCCCCAGATGGCCACTACAGCCAGCGCTGGGCCAGGCTTCTCTACCACCACTTCCTCCCTAAATTTCCTCCTTCAACTGCTCTCCCAGACAATGTTGTTATGGTTTCCTTTGTCTATCCTTGCCCAATCATCCATGACTTTCTTTTTTTTCAATAGTATATCTGAAAGGTGGAGTTACAGAGAGGAGACAAGTGGGTGGGGGGAAAGAGAGGAAGTGGGGGACAGGGAGAGTGAGAGAGTGAGCAAGGGAGAGAATTTCCATCCACTGGTCACTCCCCAAATGGCCTCAATAGTCAGAGTAGAGCTGACCTGATGCTGGGATCCTGGAGCTTCCTCCTGGTCCCCCATATGGACGGAGTGGCCCAAGGACCTGAGTCATTCTTTGCTGCCTGCCCAGTCCAGAAGCAGGTAGCTGGATCAGAAGTGGAGCAGCCAGGACTCGAACCAGTGCCTATATGGGATGCCAGCCCCAAAGATGGGAGCTTAACCTACTGTACTACAGTGTGGGTCCCTCCATTTGTATCTTTAAACCTACTTTTCCTTCTGGACTCTAGGCTGAATATCTCCCTTCTAGGCATCTCTAACAAAGTGTCAGAGGACGTCAAAGTTGACAAGGGTAACCGATTTTCCACTTCGCTGTGGCACATCAGAGTGCTGGTTCAAGTCCTGGCTGCTCTGCTTCTGGTCCAGCTTTTTGCTGATGCACCTGGGGAAGCAGCAGGAGATGCCCAAGTGTTTGGGCCCCTGGCACCCATGTGGGAGACCTGGATCAAGTTTCTGCACTGGCTTTGGCGTAACTCAGCCGTGGCTACCATGGCCATCTGGGAAGTGAACCAGAAGACTGAATGTTTTTCTACCTCTCTCCTTCTCTATATAACAGCCTTTCAAATAAATGAAATGATTCTTAACAAAACAAAATTCAAATTGGTTAAAGACAAATACTCTGAAACTCCTTCAAGACAAATACTCTGCCTTGTTCCCTGTTCCTTCGGATCTAACAGTGTACCAGGAACATTCAAAAAGTTTATCTATTGGGCTTGGCGCCGTAGCCTAATGGCTAAAGTCCTTGCCTTGCACGTGCCAGGATCCCATATGGGTGCCAGTTAGTATCCCAGCTGCTCTGCTTCCCTTCCAGCTTCCTGCTTGTGGCCTGGGAAAGCAGTTAAGGATGGCCCAAAGCCTTGGGACCTGCACCCATGCGGAAGAAGCTTCTGGCTCCAGATTGGCTCAGGACCAACTATTGCGGTCACTTGGGGAGTGAACCAGCAGATGGAATATCTTCTTCTCTGTTTCTCCTTCACTCTGTAAATCTGATTTTCCCATAAAAAGAAAAAAAATCTTTAAAAAAAATGTTTATTTATTTGAAGGGCAGCGTTCCAAAGATATGGGGAGAGATTTCATCTACCTGCTGGTCCATTCCCCAAATGGCGGGAGGCAGGAGCCCAGGACTCCAGGGGCCCAAGCACTTGGACCACACTTCACTGCTTTTCCCAAGCTATTAGCAGGAAGCTGGATTGGAAGTGGGGCAGCTTAAACACAAAATGACAATCAATCACTGGGATACTGGTGTGGCGGGTGGCAGTTTAACCTAGTCTAGCACAGTGTCAACTACCCAAGGAACTCTGAATAGTTACCATGATCTGTGCTTGCAGTGTCTTCCAAGTCAATCTCTGCCTTCGACTGCAGCTTCCCTGTCTAGACTGCTACTACGCTCACTGTGACTTTCTACCTAGCTTCCTTGCTGCCACCCTCTTCAACCTTCCTGAGAGCTTTCTGGAACACACAGAATTCCTGCACATAAACACAATGGTTCCAACCAGGAGAGCCAGGATTCAGTGTTTGGACTTGGCTTCCCCCAGCCCTCTGCCTCAGGCATGTTTTCTGTTCCTCAGGACACTGCGCACGGTCCTTTTATCTCAGCCTTGCTGACGTGCGTGCTGCCGCATGCCATGTTCTTTTCTCCCTTCCTGGTCAGGTAAGTTCCTGGACAATCTGATCAGCATCATGTTCCAGGGGACTCTCAGCTCTGCTCCGTGTGCTGCAGTACTTTATTACTGCTACTAACAACAACACAAACAGCCAACAACCAGCACGGCTTCACCCAGGACACAGTGCTGGTCCAAACTGCATCCTGGTGAACTGCTCAGGCCACCCGGCTCTCCTTCCCTTTCCGGATGGAGACTGCTGGCAACCAGCGCTGAGCGCCCTGCGCTAACAATACCCTTAAGGGTTCTCTTTGGAATCCCTCCGTTTTGTTCACTTTCGGGTGAGGTGCAGCTTAGCGTACAGTATTTGGGTCTTCTGGGTCTTACCGTGTGAAATGTTTGCTCTCTTCATGAACCTCCATCTCCGAACTTTTAAATTCATTTAATTCTTTTCTTATGGCAGCCTGCAGGGTAGAAACACAACTGGCTCAGCACCTTTCCTGAATGAATACAGCAGCCTGACTTGCCACTGATTTACCACCATGCCTGGCTCTGAGTCACTGCAATCCTGGCAGATGACACACACGGGGCAAGGGAGCCGGGCTGGCACAGGGTGCCCAGCTTGGAGTCCGGTCACACCCCACTGTCCCTGATGCCATTCACTGAACTGTGAAGCCAAAACTTCACAGTTTTAAGAGTAAAAGGAGACTTTGTAACTGCAGAGCCTTCAGAGCAGGAAAATGTGCTTTCTCCATGATCAAAGTGAAATATGAATACTGAAATATGCCAGCCAAATGTCCTTCTACCCCATAGCACCACTGCAAGGGTGTGTTCTGGAGCAGCTACTTGCTGGGCTGGCTGAGACAGCTGTGTCCCATGGAGGAGTGTCTGGACTGAGGCTGCCTCCCGATGCCCGTCTGCACCTCTTGCAGACTCTGGGAGACAATGAGGATGACTCAAATAACCGCGTTCCTGACACACATGTGAGACCTGAGTTGAGTTCCAGGTTCCTAGCGTTGGATTGGATCAAGTGACAGATGGCCCTCATGGATATGTGGGACGTGAACAAAGTGGACTGACCTTGATATCTGTCTCTCAAATAAATTTAAAGCACTTTTTGAGAAAAAAAAAGTCCAAAAAATATTTTATCATTCAGAAAACTGTCATAAAAAAAGATTTATTTAGGGCCCAGCAGCATGGCCAGGCAGCTAAAGTCCTCGCCTTGAACATGCCGGGATCCCATATGGACACCGGTTCTGATCCCAGCAGCCCCGCTTCCCATCCAGCTCCCTGCTTGTGGCCTGGGAAAGCAGTTGAGGATGGGCCAAAGCCTTGGGACCCTGCACCCGCCTGGGAGACCTGGAAGAAGTGCCTGGTTCCCGGCTTCGGATCGGCACAGCACCGGCCATTGTGTTCACTTGGGGAGTGAATCAGTGAACGGAAGATCTTCCTCTCTGTCTCTCCTCCTCTCTGTATATCTGACTTTGTTAAAAAAAAAAAAAAAAAAGATTTATTTATTTGTATTTGAAAGGCAGGATTAGAGACAGAAATCTTCCATCACCGGTTTACTGCCCAGTTGGCTGCAATGACGGGAGCTGAGCTGATTCTGAGCGGAGAGTCAGCAGCTTTGAATCCGTGAGAGTGCAGGCACCCAAGGACTCGAGCCATCCTTTGCTGCTTTTCTAGGCCTTAAGCATGGAGTTGGCTTGGAAACAAAGCAGCCCGAGGCTTAGCCTAACATGCCATGGCACCAGCACCCTCAAAAAATTTTTTAAAATGCACTTTATTTCCTTTTAGTTTTAAACTGTGATACAGTATGTCATTTAAAAAATTATTTGTATTATTTATTTTAATTTATAAACTAGAAACCAGTTTATAGAGAGGACAGACAGAAAGTTCTTCAGTCTGCTGGCACATTCCCCAATGGCTACAAAGGCCAGAAACAAGCTGATCTGAAACCAGGAGCCAAGAGATTTTTCCAGGTCTCCCATGCAAGTGCAGGGTCCCAAGACTTTGGGCCATCCTCCACGGCTTTCCCAGGCTATTAGCAGGGAGCTGGATGGGAAGTGGAACAGCTGGTACTCAAACTGATGCCCATATAGGATGCCAGCACTTGCGAGGGAAGAACTAGCCAAGTAAGTCATTGTGTCAGGCACTAAAGCTTTAATCTAATGAGTCTACTACCTACAATTCTGAAAGAAAGAGAAACTACCAGGCCTGGCGTGATGGCTCAATGGCTAAATCCTTGCCTTGTAGGCACTGAGATCCCATATGGGTGCCAGTTCATGTCCTGACTGCTCTACTTCCCATCCAGCTCCCTACTTATGGCCTGGGAAGACACTAAATGATGGGTCAAAGCCTTCTGGCACATTTACAGAAGAAGGTCCTGTAAATTCGCCTTCCTAATAAAAATGAAATAAATCTTAAAAGAAAAAAAAAGTTTGCATGGTAGCCTAGCAGCTAAAGTCCTCACCTTAAATGTGTTGGGATCCCATATGGGCGCTGGTTCTAATCCCAGCAGCCAAACTTCCCATCCAGCTCCTTGCTTATGGCCTGGGGAAGCAGTCAATGATAGCCCAAAGCCTTGGGATCCTGCACATATGTGGGAGACCTGGAGGAAGTTCCTGGCTCCTGGTTTTGTATTAGCTCAGCTCTGGCTGTTACAGCAGCTTGAGGAGTGTAACAGCCAACACCAAGATCTTTTTCTCTGTCCTTCTCTCTGTAAGTTTGACTTTCCAATAACAATATATATTTTTTAAAAAAGTTTAACTTATGTGAAAAGCAGAGTGACAGAGAGGGAGAGGCACACACAGAGACTTCTATCCCTAGAGTGAGCTAGGCCAAAGGCAGGGAGCCAGGGACTGCATTTGGGTTTCCCATGGGAGTGGCAGGCACCCACAGGTGCTGCCTCCAGGTGCATTAGTACAAGCTGGATCAGAAGCAGAGTGACTGGGGCTTGAACTAGGCACATCAACGAGATGTAGGCATTTCAAGTGACCATTTCATCACTGTGCCAAACACACATTGCAGGTCTCACGTAGTCATTCAGTGTAACAATCCTAGTCTTTTAATTGAAGTGTTTAGATTCTAAAATTTCAGTATGTGTTGGTGGGGCCCTGGCAGTGTGGCCTAGTGGCTAAAGTCCTCGCCTTGAACGTGCTGGGATCCCAAATGGGCGCCAGTTCTAATCCTGGTGGTTCCTCTTCTTATTCAGCTCCCTGCTTGTGGCCTGGGAAGGCAGTCGAGGACGGCCCAAAGCCTTGGGACTCTGTGCCCATGTGGGAGACCTGGAGGAAGTTCCTGGCTCCTGGCTTCTGATCAGCACAGCACTGGTCATTGCACTCACTTGGGGAGTGAATCATTGGATGGAGGATCTTCCTCTCTGTCTTTCCTCCTCTCTGTATATCTGTCTTTGTAATAAAAATAAATAAATCTTAAAAAAAAAATGTGTTGGTGGGTGGTAGAATGAATCCTAAGGTACTCTTCACATGATTGAAGAGGCTGGGAGTCTAAAATGTGCTGGGCTGAGTGGCAGGCACTCGGGATGGAGAGGCGGGCATCCCAAGTGGTGGTTGCTATATGCCATGACTGTACCCCCGATTTGAAATTCAACATTTTATCAGTACCCAAAGCTTCGTTGATGGTTTCCCCTTCTAGTTAGTGTCTTGCAGTGTTTAAATAAAAGAAAAAAAAATGGGAACACCTGAAAAAGAAAGAAAAAAGATAGAGAACTCGTGAGTATTTTCCATTTACCTTGTCAGCAGGAGTCAGTTTGGTCCAAGGTTTGTCAGCCCGTCGGTCATAATCCTGAGCATCTGTTACCTCCACGTATTCGTTAAACCTCAGAATCTTCCTGGCAAGGAGCTCAGCCACAGTTGGCCTTTGACTGAGCTGGAAGAAATGGAGCCGGGGTGAAGCATCGGCCTTGTATTCAGGTCACTTCCCCACGAGCGCTGCAGCCTCTGCCGCCCTGGGATCACCAGGGACTTTCAACACTGCTGGTCCGTGGGTCCCGCCTCCCAGCAATTTCTTTTTTTTTGTTTGTTTCTTTTTTAAAGCACCTTGATGCATGGTTAAGATTGAGAACTAGTATAATCCAGTCCTTTAACACACACAGACATCATCTGGGCGTCTGGTTAAAATGCAGATTGTGATTGAGGAGTCTTGGCTGCAGCCTGAGGCTCAAGTATCTCACAGAAACTCCCCGGTCGGGTCGACACTGACCCAGGGATGACATTCTGGGGATCAAGGTTCTTGTAAGTTTTATTTCAAATGAAAAATGCTTAAGGCAGTAGATTCTATAGCAAGTTATGGTCTAAGAGGGTTCAATATGCTCAATCTGAAAGTCAGGTCATTTCCTTGAATTATCAAGAATAATCTCTCCTCCTGCAGAGGGAGGAAGTGGAAAAGATACAGATCCCACAGTTCTCCTGGAGGTTTTTAAAAATACATTTTAAGAAAGATATTAATACAACTATAGGAAACAGTTTCAGAATTATGGTAAGAAGGAAAGGAGAAAGGGATTAATTTCAGCTAAAAAATTAACATAGGTCTGTACTAACTGATCTGGAACCAAGGAGAAAATCAATGATGGTATCTGATCCTTCTTAGATGCTTCTCAGATCCTAGCATTGGCTGCACACTCCAGTATATCCCACATTCCCAACAGGGACTGCGTCAGGATACCACATCTGGCAAATGAAAGGGCAGCATTTATCCAGGTATTTACTGAACACCTTCATGTGCCAGCACTTTTTGAAATACTGAAAATAAGACACAAGCTCTTGATCACATATTGTTTTCTACATTTGCATCCTGGATTATGTTTTCATAGAGATCTCTGGCATCTTAAGCTAAATTCATTTCTTTCTGATAAAATGTGTGTGATGCTTGGTTTCTAGGTAGGAGACACTGTGGGCAGACAGCATGAGACCGCACACGGGAATGGTACCTTTCTAGTGAGGCGACGTTTGATCTCTCGTTTTTCGGCTTGACGATCAGCTTCATTTTTAGCTATGATTGACAGAAATAATTATTTTAAAGTGGCAATATGCATATCAAACTTTAAGATTTATTTATTTATTGGAAGGTTATGTACATAGAGAGTAGGAGAGACAAAGTGGAAAATCTTTTGTCTGCTGATTCACTCCCCAAGTGGCCACAACAGCTGGAGCTGAGCCTATCAGAAACCAGGAGCCAGGAACTTCTTTCGGGTCTCCCATGAAGGTGTAGGATCCCAAGGCTGTCCTCAATCGCTCTCCCAGGCCACAAGCAGGGAGCTGGATGGGAAGCAGGGCTGCCGCAATTAGAACTGGCGCCTGTATGGGATCCTAGCATATGCAACGCAAGGACTTTAGGCAATAGGCTACTGTGCTGGGCCCTGCATGTCAAACTTTTAAAATAGTTGTACCACAAGTATCTTTCATAGGTCTAAATCAGAATAAATACTACCTTTGAGGTAACATACAAAGTTTTTTTGTTGGATATAGTAAAAAAGTTAAGAACCACAGCTCAACAAACTGTGGTACCAAACCTACATTTTTACTGCCCATGAGCTAAGAATGGAAAATGGAGAGCATATCTAGTTCTATGTTATGTGTCTACAAAGCCTGCCACACTTTAAAATTTACTAACTGGGGGGTGGCATTGTGAGTAAGGCTTCTGCCTGTGATGCTAGTATCCCATATGGTCACTGGCTGAGTCTCAGCTGCTCCACTTCTCATCTAGCTTCCTGATAATGCGACTGGGAAAGCAGTGGTGGATGGCCCACGTTCTTGGACCCCCGCACCCATGTAGATGACCCAGAAGAAGCTCCTGGCTTCAGCCTAGTCTAGCCCCTAATGCTTTGGTCATCTGGTGGAGTGAACAAAGGAAAAAAAGTCTTTTATTGTAACTCTGTCTTTGAAATAGATAAATCTTAAAAAAAAAAAATGCTGACTGGGCTGTGTATATCCAGCAGTGCTGACTGGATGGACAGGTCAGCTGAGCATGCAAACAAGGAATCCTAGGGTAGCCCATGCCACTCCAGTGAGGAGGAATTAGGGAGCTAATTAGCCATGTGGCCACAGGGCCCAGCCGGTGACTAGAGAACTAATAAAGTCCCAGGGCTGAGAGCCACAGGAGGATGCTGCATTTGGGACTTGCTTTGGCTCTCTCCTCAGACTCCACTAGAAACACAAGTGTCTTCATATACACAGCCACCACTTATCTCCCTGCAGACAGAGAAGTTGGAGCATTTCTCCCAAACATGGTCAAGTCCTCCCAAATGCTCGTAGCAGTCCCAGCATCCTGTGAGAGCATTTAGACACAGAAACCACCATGTCTGGTACACTCCAGTGATGGCATTTCCCAAAGGCCTTCAGGGGAAGACCTCAAGAGCCCGAGCCTGGATGACACAATTTCCTGAGCCCCACGTAGGGCTGACACTCATCTTCTCCCTGAGGTTTGGGTTAGAAGTCGACAACTTTGGGATCACCTCAAAGTTTCTTTGGGGATCTCCCCAATCCAACTGTTGGACTCAGAACCCAAATCACGAAGAGAAGCGCAGGTTCCATGGTCTGCCATGGAGTGCAAATGCTAGAGCCGAGCCTCCTCAGAGGCTCAGACGGAGCAGTGGACAGCATAACCAGCTGCACATGGAGGACTTGGCAGTCTATCAGAACCTGCAGAGAATACCTTGCACCACAACAGAGGACAGAACAAATCAATCAACTACCCCAGCCAAGTGTTGGCAGTGAAAAACTGGGCGAATGGAGACTCTAAGATGGACTATGTCAATCAGTGGATTCTACAGCGACTTCATCATGCTTGGAATGGTGAGATTGGCAGCAATTCATAATTGTTGAACTATCAAAACCACCTGAGCAAGACCCTTGGAGCATGCCCCACATCGGGGACATGGGATGAGTGGGAGGTTGGTGGGACTTTTCCCTTTATCTCCCCCTTTGCCCCAGATGCAGGAGAGAAACAATGTGGAAATAATAGTCTAACCCATTTTCCTGTAGCCCTTGAACCTTTGTGCTCTAATTAACCATGTAAAGATTATAAAAAAAAAAGTCGACAAAGAACAGACAGCTTTACTTCCTAGATGGACTCACGTTGCAGTATATTTCGCTGCTCTAATTCTTCTGGTGTTGGTCTTTGACTCAGTCGTCTAAAAAGAAAAAGACGTGATATCTGTGTTAAACTTCCTAATCTTATTTAGACTGATTTTACTTTGGTTACAATTTATATTAGCCCCATGCACAGCAAACCAATACATATTCAAATTGATATATTTCAAAAATAATTTTCACGTTGAAAATGCTAACACAGGTATCACATCACACACACTCACACACACCCAGGACTCCAGGCTAGCTCTGACCCCAGAAAGCACAATACCAGAAAGAAGCCGCCTGGGTCTCACACACACACACACACACACACACACACACACACACACTACCAGAAAGAAGCCTGGGCCACACACACACACACACACACACACACACACGCTACCAGAAAGAAGCCTGGGTCACACACACACACACACACACACACACACACACACACACACACACACACTACCAGAAAGAAGCCTGGGTCACACACACACACACACACACACACACACACACACACACACCCACCAGAAAGAAGCCTGGTTGCTCTCCCTGTACATCCTTATCTATACAAGGAGGTTTGGACTGGACAGGGCTTCCCCAAAACACCTGCCCTTTCCACAAGTCCCGGAAACTTTGCTAACAGCACAAATTCTGAAGGCATACTAATAGAAATTTTGATTCAGAAAATCAGGAAAAAGACTGAGATTTAATATATATAAGTTTTGTATATGTACGTATAAGTATATATTTTTACATAAATAAAGAGACTAATGATGCGGGACAGAAGGTTAAATGACCATCTAAGATATCAGCATCCCATGTGAGCCACAACTGGAGGCAAAGCTGTTTCACATTTAAAAAAAAAAGATTTATTTATTTTTATTGCAAAGTCATATATAGAGAGGAGGACAGACAGAGGAAGATCTTCTATTTGATGATTCACTCCCCAAGTGGATGCAATGACCAGTGCTGAGCCCATCTGAAGCCAGGAACCAGGAGTTTCTTCCAGGTCTCCCCTGTGGGTGCAGGGTCCCAAGGCTTTGGGCTGTCCTCAACTGCCTTCCCAGGCCACAAGCAGGGAGCTGGATGGGAAGCAAGGCTGCTGGGTTTAGAACTAGTGCCAATCTGGGATCCTGGTGTGTCTAAGGTGAGGACTTTAGCAGTGAGGTTACCGCACCGGGCCCCCTTTTACAAATTCTTAAAAGGTATTTGCTTTGGTTTGAATATGATTGGGTCACTAAATTCATGTAGGACTTTAAACCCCGAAGTTGTAAGTTAATAGGTACTAGGAGAACAGAAAGTTAATCCATCCATGGTCTTTCTAGGTGGGCTTGGTGGGAGAACTTTGGGCCACTGAGAGCCCTTCTTGTGAGAGGGTTGTAAATGCCTGTGAGTGCCCAACTCTTCTGCTTTCTGAGTTGCCAGGTGGTCTTGTGCCTGCATACACCCCACCACTGCCATATGTCACCCTTGTCAAGATGACAAACCAGTGGGGCTGTTCGCCCTTGGAAGTCCAATTTCCAACTCAAATAAATGATCCTTTATTTTTATGAAGAAATCTTTAGAAAGTTAGTTGCTTCAGGTATTTTAAAATAGTAACATAAAGAAAAAAATACCAATTCATACAATACTCAATTCGGTACATTATGTTTTTGTAAGTTATACTGAAAACAACAGAAAACCAACACAAATGAATTCTTCACTACAAAATAAAGCTCTAGTACATTTTCTGGCATAGTCAAATCAGACCAGGTCATCTCAGCACAGGCCTACCGGATCAATGTGTTCCCAATCTGGTGTCGAATTTCATTCCACTCCTCCTTGCTTTTATGAGGCCAAGGGTTCAAGTTCAACTCTGGTTCACTAGGTTTGTGGTTCAACTTCATGGCCAGTGTGTCTTTTCTCTTCACTTTGTTGGCCAGAGCACCTTGGTGCAGGAGAAGAAAAAAAGGTTGAAGACATCTAAGAATATCCTTAGTCCAATGGATTCAATGGGTTCAGATAGACAAAGACTATCCTCTCTTAGTATTTTTTGTCCTAAGAGTTGATTGAGAAAATAGCATGAGATAGCTCTCTGACCTAAAACATAATGGCTTTTATATTACCACACCTTAATAATCTATCTGTTTTAAAGACTTCTTTTCCAATTTTAGGAATCGGGATTTCTTTATTCGCAAGGGTATGTGGCACAAATATGGTTTTTATTGTCTTCACTGTATGTGTAGCAAGCTTATTAAACTGAAGGAAAGCGTAACTTTTGTCTTTAATTTATAGTGCATGTGCTTGAAATATCCTTGATGCCAACAAAGTAACTGGCTTAGGAGGTCACTTACTTGAGAGAAACAGATAGGCAGACAGAACTGATTCACAGGTTCATTCACCAAAGGCTCACAACGGTTAGGGCCACGGCAAGGGAAGCTGGGAGTCAGCAGCTCAATCCCGGTTTCTGACATGGGTGGGGACCCAATTACATAAGCATCACTTTCTGCCTCCCAGGATACATGTCAGGAGCTGGAGTCAGGTTTTGAACCGAGCCACTCCAACATGCGATCTAAGCGACAGGCTAAAACCTGCCCCAAGGTGAATACCTTTTAAATCAAAACCAGATAAAGACCTGGAATATTTAATTTACTTGGTTCCCTCTCATAGCATCTTTTAACACAGGGAATACGGCAGGGACAAGGAGTTGGTACAGAGGTTCCCAACATGAGATGGCCATACGGTTTGACAGCAGAGGGACTCGTTTCCATTCATAAAGCAACAAGTAGCTTTATCTGTAAAATAATTTTCTCTTTGCCCCGCCCTGTCTTACTCTGATGGCTTTCATCTTCATCCTCTTCGTCCCGATACTGGATGGGACCCTCTGAGTCAGAGTCACTTTCCTTCCCTTCCTCTTCCTCCTGCAGACAGTGCGGCTGTGCAGGAGCGGCTGAGGTAGAGGTCATGTCTATGCTGAAGGCAGACGGGCAGAGCTGCTCCTCCTCTTCTTCATCGTCTGGACTAACACATGAACAAGATTACACTGTCTTTTCAGAAATGGATAACTGACAGATAAGACAAAAGACTGAAATAACTACGAAAAAGTCCATAAATAAAAATACTCAATAAGCCCCTCCCAAAGCATTTGTCATTTTGCTAAGATATCTGTTAGTAGTTCAAACAGCTCAGGATTCAAGTCTCACGTCTATCAATTATTAGGTACTGGTGCTTTCCAGAACATCCAATTTCATCCTCACAAGTCTACAGAGTAGATTTGATTCTCGTTTCGGCAAGCACAGAAATGCTAAGTAACTACACTACTCCAGGCTACGACTGGTAACACTGGCACAGGAACACAGGGCTGTCTTGCTCCAAGGTGAAGCCCTTACGCACCATGTCATATATGCACTGTTCCCGTGCCTCATGTATCACATAATGCTAGCGATTTTAATTTTCTTGCATTTCTTTCTAGCACTTAGAGGTGATGGCGTTCCCCTCAGATCGCACAAAGCTTACATCAGGGAAGATGTAAAAAGCCAGACTGGAGAGAAGTCTTTTACTTGTAAAGCTTGGGAAGGTATGGACTGTGATGTAATATTAAAATATTTTACATGCAGTATCATAAAATGATAATAGCAAAATAATCATAAAAAAGGACAAAAGTATTTCACATGGCAATATATTCATGTGAAATGTCATACATCTAACAATACACTTTGTTTCATGAGAAGTATTAGTATCTTTTAAAAGATTTCTTTATTTTTGTTGGAAAGGCAGATCAAATTTACAGAGAGAACAAGACAGAGAGCAAGATCCTCAATTCGTCAGTTCATTCCCCAAATGGCTGCAATAGCCAGAGCTGAGCCAGTCTGAAGCCAGGAGCCAGTAGCTTCTTCTGGGTCTCCAATATGAGTGCAGGATTCCAAGGGTTTGGGTCACGCTTTATTTTCCCAGGCCATAGGCAAGGAGCTGAATTGGACAAGAAATGGTGCCAGGACAAGAACCAATGTGTATATGAGATCCCGGTACTTGCAAGCTGAGCATTTAGCCATTGAACCTTGTGCCAGGCCCAGTACTAACATCTTTTAAAACCCTACTATAGGGGCCAGCGCCTTGGCACATTAAGCTAAGCTTCTGTCTGCAGCGCCGACTTCCCATATGGGCACCGGCTGTTCTACTTCTAATCCTGCTCCCTGTTTATGGTCTGGGAAAGAGGAGGATGGCCCTAGTCCTTGGGACTCTGCAGCTACATGTGAGATCTGGAAAAGGCTCCTGACTCCTGGCTTTGGATTGGCTCAGCTCTGACCATTGTTGCCATTCGGGGAGTGAATCAGTAGATGGAAGATCTTTCTTTTTCTCCTTCTCTTTGTAACATAACCTCTTATATAAAAATGAAAATAAAATTTTTAAAAATAAAAAACCATATAACAGTAATCAGCAGGGTACAACGATTCCAAATTCTAGAACTTATTCTTTTGGTCCAATCTTATATTTTAAACTTACTCACATTATCTTTCTGTAAGTAATGTCCTTGTTGGATTTTCTAGAACAGACAAGGAGGAACAAGAAGGAAGCTTGAGAGGCACTTACACTTTGAGCATTTCAATAGTGACAGGAAGTGACCTGGTCCGGCCCAGGGTGTTGCTATCTTCAGAAAAATTGTCACTGTTCTCAAAGAGCAATGAATGAGCTCTCTGAAAGCCCTCCAAGGGAGGGGTCATGGGAAGTGGGCTGGTCAGGGCCTGCTGGATTCGAATATGCAGTGGGACTGGGGGCAACCTGGAAGGGACATGGGGTTCCCCAAAGCTATGGTCCAATATCCTCTTGGGGAGTTCTTTTTTCTCATCTTCCTGTTGTGGAGTCTCTTGGGGTGGATCTATGGATGGAAGAAACTTCATTTCTGGCACAACTTCAAAAGTCTTTGTAGGCAACAGAGGGGAGCGTGGGGGCTCAGGGGGAATGTGAGTAGGCAGAGGTGGGGACGGGGAGAGGGGCGGGACCACCAGCACAGGTTCAGAGCTCACAGAGCCTGTGTTCTTCTCCCTCTGGTCACTTAGTGTTTTGGTGGTGGTAACAGCAGCAGATTCCGAGGTGGGGACAAGGCTTGATGGAATGCTTCTTTTGGGTGGCAAGGGTGGGGAGGGTTTTGATAACAGTGTACCATTGTTAATTGCTTGAGACAGTTCCGCTGAAAAAGAGAGAGAAATCTTTCAGTTTATAATGCACACAGGAGCCAGCCCCAGACCTAGAATCATCATTCAAACACACTGTATAACTTCGTGACTTGTCATTCCTTCCATATCTCTATCTTGCAACCAAAATTCATAGATATTTCAACAAAAGGCCTAGGGCACCAGAGGTCTTGGAACCTGTGTAGAGTGGCAACCAAGCAGCCAGGATGGTTACAAGGGGGATAGTGGTGGTGGCAAAGAGGAGAGCTGTGGGCGGGTTGGTTGGAGTCAAGAGAATCATGCCTGCCTGTTCACTCCTCTGGTGGCCCTGGGGAGGTACACATGCGCCTGGGCGGGATGGGGCTGGTGGCTGTGGGCCTGGAGGGGGCAGGCTTTCAGTTGTTGCTTCACTGATAGGGAAGCAGAGGCCCAATGCATGAAAGGGAATGGAAACAGGAGATAAAGGCATGCAGAGAGAGAGGATGGCTTCATATCACTTTCACTGTCTAGAAGGGCAAACAAGTGGCAAACGGACATTTTCATAAGGAAAAATTAACTGTGCATGCATCTGGTGAGAAGAAAAGGGATCTAAACACTTAAGCTATCATACACTGCCTCCCAAGATGTACATTATAAGGAATCTGGATTGAAAGTGGAGGAGCTGGTATTTAAACCAGGCACTCTTATATGAGCCATGGGCATTCCAAGCAGCAAGTTCACTCTAACAACTGAAGTAATGGCTTCTTTAAACAGATATCCTTCTGGAAAATCAAATAGCTACATGACTATAATTTTTCATAAGCACCTGGGCTATCTGACACTAACAACAAAACATAAAACATGGGGTGTAGTAAGTGGATAGTGGCATAGGAAGACTGAGTATTCCTATTTTGTTGCCATAAGAGCGGTTAGGACTTTCAATTTTTTTTTTTTTAGATTTATTTATTTTTATTATAAAGTCAGATATACAGAGAGGAGGAGAGATAGGAAGATCTTCCATCCAATGATTCACTCCCCAAGTGGCCACAATGGCCGGTGCTATGCTGATCAGAAGCCAGGGAGTCAGGAACTTCCTCCAGGTCTTCCACACAGGTGCAGGGCCCCAAGGCTTTGGGCCATCCTCAACTGCTTTCCCAGGCCACAAGCAGGGAGCTGGATGGGAAATGGAACTGCTGGGATTAGAACCGGTGTCCATATGGGATCCCGGCATGTTCAAGGCGAGGACTTCAGCTGCTGGGCCACGCCACCGGGTCCAGGACTTTCAATTTTTACCTGAAAAAAGTTTATCTGAATAAATTCAAAGAGAAAGAGAGAGAAAGAGAGAAGGAGATGGTGACTCATGTCACAATGCCCACAGTGACCACAACAGGGCTGGTTCTGGAGCCAGGAGTGACATCAAGGTCTTCATGTGGGAGGCAGGAATCCAATTACTCAGGCCATCAACACTGCATTCTAGGAAGCGTCTGAGGTCATGGCCAGGAAACTAAACCAAGAACTAAATGCTTATTCCAGGACAATTTTTTTTTTTAAAAACTGTTCCAGGGTATAAAGTTAGTAAGATATAGAGAAAAAAAAATGGCTGATAAAAGTTCACTATGTAGCAGCACACTATTAAAAGAGCTGGAGAGCAATGAAAACAAAACAGAACATTGTCCAGACTTGATTTCCTGGCTTCTTTGTTGTCGTCTTCTAATTTTTAAAAAACAGATATATTCATCTATTTTTTTTTAATTGTAAAGGCAGATTCACAGAGAGAGAGGGAGAAAGAGAGAAAAATCTACTTGCTTGTTCACTCTCCAAATGTCACAACAGCCGGAGCTGAGCTAATCCACTGCTTTTCCAGTTACAAGCATGGAACTGGATCGGAAGGGAAGCAACTGGGATATGGACCTGTGTCCCTACATGATACCAGCACTGGCAGGCAGAGGACTAGGCCAGTTGAGCCATCATACCAGCCCCACAACTTCAGCTTCTACACTGTTGACCGCTGGAGGCTGTGGGGATAGCTCAGGTAATCAGGTTCCGGCCACTCTGCTGGAGACTGAGACTGCATTCCAGTTCCCAGCTACAAACCCAGAGCACCCTGCCCACCACGGGCACTTGGGGAGAGGCCAGCAGACAGGAGTAGATGGAAATCAAAACAAAACCAAAACCAAAGCCACTACTGGATATTGTTACCACATTCTGACAAATAACAATATCTAGATATATCGATTTAATATTATGAAATTATCAAATGACATTTTGATTCTTAGTGGCAAATGCAAAAAGCCTTTGAAAATATCAAAATAATTTTCTATCTTTGACATTTTTTTCTACCTACATCATCTGAAGTGACAGGGAAAACAAGCTATCATTTTATGATTTTTAAAAAATATTTATTTATTTTTGTTGGAAAGGCAGATACATGGAGAGGAGGACAGACAGAAAGGAAGATATTCTATCCGCTGATTCACTCCCCAGGTGGCTGTAATGGCCAGAGCTGAGCTGATCTGAAGCCAGGAATCAGGAGCTTCTTCTGGGTTTTCCACGCGGGTACAGGGTCCCAAGGCTTTGGGCCATCCTTGACTGCTTTCTCAGGTCACAAGCAGGGAGCTGGATGGGAAGCAGGGCTTCTCGGATTAAAACTCACGCTCATATGGGATTCTGGCACTTACAAGGCGAAGACATTAGCTGCTAGGCTACCACACTGGGCCCTGTGAATTTTTTAAGAAGGGAAAACGAAGGCCACAGACTTTAGGCTACCTCCCCAAGATTATACTACAAACTGGCCCAGACTCGGTTAATAATAGGTCTTTGATAATTTGGTTACTGCCCTATCCTCCAAATTCCACTCTCTGAGCTTTCTTAGTGCACACACATTCTACGGCCTCATGTGTCCCACCTTCCCATGTCTTCCGTTGCCCCTGTACTGTGAGCTCCTTGATGGCAGCACAGTCCTGGGTTCCATCAGCATACATACTCGGCTGTGCTCAATGCCTAGTACATAGTGATCCCTGAGAGAAGTTTATTAGATATTAAATGATATGCTTTCATCTTGCATCAGGATAATATCAAAGAGTCCTCGATGACCGCCAAAGCCCCTAGTGACTAAGGGCTGAGCCAGTCAAGTTGCTCTGCAGATCCAAGTAAACTGCAAGATGTACATCATCTCACAAAGAAACTAACCTTGCCAAAAAAAAACAAACAAAAAGAAAGAGTAGTTGACTTGATTACTAACCTCTAAACTTCTGCCCAAATCCTTTATTTTGCTCCCTTCTAGTGATTTCAAACAGTTCTATAATTTTCTCTGAAATAAAATATTAATCTTGCTAAATCCCATGCTATTAAAGATATAGAAAGTAAACGACGGTAACCCAGCGTCAGTCCTCACCTTGAACATGCCAGGATCCCATAAGGACACTGGTTCTAATCCCAGCAACCTCGCTTCCTATACAGCTCCCTGCTTGTGGCCTGGAAAAGCAGTCGCGATGGCATTAAGCTTTGGGGCCCTGCACTTGTGTGGGAGACCTAGAGGAAGTTCCTGCCTCCTAGCTTCAGATTGGCTCAGCTCCAGCCGTTGCAGCCACTTGGGGAGTAAACCATTGGATCGAAGATCTTCCTCTCTGTGTATCTGACTTTGCAATAAAAATAAATAAATCTGGGCCCGGCGTGGTGGCGCAAGTGGTTAGGGTCCTCGCCTTGCACGCCCAGGATCCCATATGGGCGCTGGTTCTATCCCGGCAGCCCCGCTTCCCATCCAGCTCCCTGCCTGTGGCCTGGGAAAGCAGTCGAGGACGGCCCAAAGCTTTGGGACCCTGCACCCGCGTGGGAGACCCGGAGGAGGCTCCTGGCTTTGGATCGGCATAGCATCGGCCGTTGCGCTCACTTGGGGAGTGAATCATCGGATGGAAGATCTTCCTCTCTGTCTCTCCTCTCTGTATATCTGCCTTTCCAATAAAAAAATAATAAAAATAAATCTTTAAAAAAATAAATCTTAAGAAAGGGTAAAAGAGGTTCATTTTATATTGTTTTAATATTATCTCTCAGAAGTAAATTTGAAAAAGGACTTGCTTAACACTGCATCATATACACAAAATATAAAAATGTGAATTTCAGGATCAATGTTGAGAAAATTTTGTGTATGTTAGAGTTTTGCTACTTCTCTAAATATATTCTGCTATTTCATATATAATAAAACTCACTTTTATGACTCTATTTGGATATTTTAACTTCTGAGTTGGTAAGGTAAGTTACTGTTGGCAGTTAAAAGAAGGTATATACCTCAACATGTTGAAGAAGTGAGCATATGTCTGTATACTCTGCAGAATCTCATATGGCACTGGTTCAAGTCCTGGCTACTCCACTGATGTGCCTGGGAAGGCAGTGGAGGATGGCCCACATCCTTGTGTCCCTGGCACCTACATAAGAGACTCAGAAAGAAGCTCCTGGTTTTGGCCTAGCCCATTCCTAGCCATTTTGGTCACCTGGTGAGTGAACCAACAGATGGGAGATCTCCATCTCTCTCCATACCCTCTCTGTAACTGTGCCTAACAAATAAATAAATCTCAAAATAACACAACAACAATAATCCCCACCAAAACAGTAGTACTTCTAAAGCAATGGTTTCCAAACTTGAAATTCAAGGATCATTACAATTAATGGTCCATTACACACACAAATATTTCTGACCCATCTCAGTTTCCTTCTTAAGGACTGACTGACAAATAAGGCTTGATATTCAGTAAATCATTTATGATCATGATATTGCTATGAAAGAAATGGGACTGAACCGGGGACCGGCACGATAGCATAGTGGTTAAGGTCCTTGCGTTGAACGTGCCAGGATCCCATATGGGCGCCAGTTCTAATCCTGGCAGTCCCACTTCCTATCCTGCTCCCTGCTCATGGCCTGGGAAAACAGTCTAGGATGGCCCAAGGCTTTGGGATCCTGTACCCACATGGGAGACACGAAAGAAGTTCCAGGCTCCTGGCTTCAGATGGGCTCAGCTCCGGCCGTTGTGGCCGCTTGGGGAGTTGAATCATCAGACGGAAGATCTTCCTCTCTGTTTCTCCTCCTGTCTGTATATCTGACTATCCAATAAAAATAAAACCTTCAAAAAAATGGGATTGAATCTACCCAACTTTAAAAAACTCCATGAATGGTCCTGCTTTGTCCTTCTGCTGAGGACCAGGCACAAGGCAGTTTTGAAAATAAGTGTGCGAAAGCTCCGCAGGCTCCTCAGAGATAAGCCAGGACAGCAGCTGTCGGAGATGGCTGTCGACCCCTTAGGTGACAATGTTGGGTGCCTGGATTTACACAGCTCTGGTCAGGACCAGTCTCTGCAGCAAAGCCAGGGCGTCATACCTCCACGTTCACTTAATGAACCGCCTTCAGCCGAAAGAGGCGGAGTACCACTGATGGAGACCTGAGGACCAACGTGCAGTGCCTGCATTAATAGCAGCAGCAGCTCTGGGAATCTTCTGGAAATACAAAGTCTCAAGTCCTAGCCTAGACAGACTAAAATCAGAAACACTAAGGACACGGCTCAGGCCACTGTATTTGTTGTTGTTGTTGTTTGTTTTTAAATGTTTATTTTCTTCTATCAGAAAGGCAGATATACAGAGAAAAGGAAAAACAGGCAGATCCTCCATTTGCTAATTTATCCCCAAGTGGCTCCAACAGTAAAACTTAGCTCCAAAGCCAGGAGCCAGCAACTTCTTCTGGGTCTCCCACATGGGCACAGGGTCCCAAGGCTTTGGGTTACCCTCTACTGCTTTTCCAGGTTACAAGCAGGGAGCTGAATTGGAAGTGGAGCAGCCAGGACATGAACTGGCATCCATGTGGAGTCCCGGTGGATGTCAGGCTTTAGCCACCAGACTACCGTATTAGGTCCAGCCCTCTGTATTTTAACAAGTCCTCTAGGTGAGCCTGACAGTCCGAATGGGAGACCCAAGGCACTCATGGGCAGTTTCTCTCTCTTACTAACCACAGCCCTGAATGAGTCACAGGGTCTGTATGTTCTCATTGCCCTATCTTTCTGAGCAGATAAAATCAGTTTCCTAAGGCACAAGGTAGTTTTGAAAATAAGTGTGTGAAAGCTCCTGAGGTTCCTCAGAGATAAGCCAGCAGGACAGCAGCACCCATCTGAGGTGGTGATGACAATAATAATCTTCACCTTGCTTTCATCAAGCTACTCAAACCTGTCATACTCACAATATATTCTAAGCTTGCTTTTCAAGATTCTAGTCACTTTAGCCAACGAGATGACATTAGGTATTTAATGAGCATACTTTTATTCAACCATTAAATCATTAACAAGAATTTTCAGAAGTACTAAATTTAGTACTATTTTTCTTGAAAAAACATATTTTCATTAGCTCTGAAGTATGCATTAACCTTTGTTCCTGTCCTGTTTCTTCAAAACTCCTCTAAGATGGTATGCATTTAAGTAAACAGCTCTACATAGGACTTTGGGTAAATGCAAAATTTAACTAATTACCTTCTCTGTTTTCCTTATCATCATTCATTTTAATGCAAGAGGTGCATTCTAGACTTTCTCAAGATTTTATCAGAATCATTAAAATAATATCTTCTGCAGTTGCTCAAGAAGATATATGCCAGAGACTGAGTCACAAGTTGCACCAGCATTTATAAAACCATCCTTTTATCTGCTGCACTCGTTTATGCTTAAGAAAGACAGTGGCAATTTAAAATAGATTTTAACATATTCTGATCCATCATTCTATATATCAGACACCTATAAGACTCAAATCGAACAACAGATATACTACAATATTTCCTAAAAATATTCTGCCATTAAAATACTTCAAAAACAAAAAACTTGGGACTTAGTGGTTTAGAAAAAACCTTGCTGGTCCTGGTACAGCAGCCTGTGCTAAAGTCCTTGCCTTGTAGGTGCTGAGATCCCATGTGGGCACTGGTTCATATCCTGGCTGTTCCACTTCCCATCCTTCCCATCCAGCTCCCTGCCGGTGGCCTGGGAAAGCAGTCAAGGATGGCCCAAAGCTTGGGACTCTGCCCCCACGTGGGAGACCTGAAAGAAGCTCCTGGCTTCAGATTGGCTCAGCCTAGCTATTGCGGCCACTTGGGGAGTGAACCAGCGGATGAAAATTCTTTCTCTCTGTCTGTCCTTCACTGTGTAAATCTGACTTTGTAATAAAAATAAATAGATAACTTTTAAAGATGAAGGAAAAGAAAAAGCCTTGTCATTTGATAAGCTTGTCTTGCCTTTGTTAAGTGATGGCATTATTATTATTATTTTTTAAGTAAATGCTTCGGATAACTTCATGCCTGTTATAGTCTTCACATATTTAGACCCCTAACTACACATAATGTCTTAGAAACATCATTTTAACAAAATAGACATCAGTTACCCCAAACCTGAACTTAATTTTAGTTATGGCCATCTGCCTCATTTTCCAGATTTTTTTTTTCCACATTGAGGACCCCTTTGGGGAAAACTCTTCACAGACCATAGCAATACTGTTAACAGTTACTCAGTAAAAATCACCATCCCAAACCAAGCAAACCAAACAAGGGAAGCCTGGAGATTTACTTACCAATTACAGGGTTGCTGTTTCTGTGAGCTGGTTTAGGTGGAGGGATGGGAGGCTGCTTGGTGGAGACTGGGTGAGTAAGGTTTGGGGTGCTAGTAGTGTTGGTGCTGGTGGGAGCAGAAGTCAGAGTCCTGGGTGCTGGGCAAGGGGTAATGAAGGCATTAGCAGTCTTTGCCAGACCTGTGGCAGCTGTGGTGGCAGCAGGTGTTGCATTGATGGAAGAGGTGGAAGTGGAAGAGATGGACCTTGCCATGCTGCCCGAAGAGGCATTCTTTGCTTGTCCTTCATTTCCTTCATAGGAAGAAGACAAGGGTCTTTTGGGGGGAAATAAAGGCTGTTTGGGTACACTCTCAGGAACACACTCTCCTTCAGAATTAGACCAGCTTCCGGTTGAGCCTGTGTAAAACAGATGGTGATTTAAAAACAAAGAATAAACAAGTGAGATTGGAAAAGCTAACACATCTATGAAAATTAGTCAATGCCATCAATGATTTATAGGTTAATTTAAAAGGTGGAGTTCTCAGTTTTTGCATCTTTTTTTTTTCTTAAAACATTTATTTATTTATTGGAAAGTTAGATATACAGAGAGGAGGAGAGACAGAGAGGAAGATGTTCCATCTGATGATTCACTCCCCAAGTTAGCACAACGGCTGATGCTATGCCGATCCGAAGCCAGGATCTAGGGACCATTTCCAGGTCTCCCACACGGGTGCCGGGTCCCAAGGCTTTGGGCCGTCTTCAACTGCCTTCCCTGGCCACAAGCAGGGAGCTGGATGGGAAGCGGGGCTGCTGGGATCAGAACCGGCGACCATAAGGGATCCTGGCGCACTCAAGGTGAGGACTTTAGCCGCTGGGCCACGTTGCCAGGCCCAGTTTTTCCACCTTTAACACACTTGAGGAATGTCAGTAAGAGAATCTTGGGAAGAGAGGCTTTTCATGGCAGCGATTTTACACAAAAAAGCCATGCTGCTGAAGGAGGCGCAGCAAAATGCCTTGGATGGAATCCAGTGCTAAGACGCCTGTGTCCCGTTGGAGCTTCTACCTCCAGCTCCTGTGACTGCAGATGCTAAGAGACAGCAGTGAAGGCTCAAGTAACCGAGGTCCTGCTACCTACACAGGACACACAGTTTGCGTTCCTGGATCCCAACTCGCCTGGCCAGGTCCCAGCCACTGAGAATATCTGGGAAATGAAGCAGTGCAATGCATGGGAATTCTCTGTGTCTCTCATAAAAATACATTTAAAAAAATCTTTGGGGGCCTGGCGGCGTGGCCTAGCAGCTGAAGTCCTCACCTTGAACACCCTGGGATCCCATATGGGCACTGGTTCTAATCCCGGCAGCTGCACTTCCCATCCACCTCCCTGCTTGTGGCCTGGGAAAGCAGTCGAGGACGGCCCAAAGCTGTGGGACCCTGTACCCGTGTGGGATACCAGGAAGAAGTTCCTGGATCCTGGCTTCGAATCGGCATAGCATCGGCCATTGTGCTCACTTGGGGAGTGAATCATCGGATGGAAGATCTTCCTCTCTGTCTCTCCTCCTCTCTGTATATCTGACTTTCCAATAAATGAATAAATCTTTTTTTAAAAAAAATCTTTGGGTGGAGGAGGAGCATGTGCAAACTGAGAAAGTCCTGCAAGAATCTGCTATTCAGCATAATTTTCTTTCCAGAAGATCACAAATTTAGATATCTTATGAATGCATAAATGACAGAGGGTAAAATGCCACTTAAAGCTGAAGGAAGTTAAGGAATCCTTAAATGAAAATGCAAATTCCTTCACATTTTATTTAACCCTGTTCTATGAAAGTCCGTGAGACAAATGAGAATGATTAGTTCATGTCTCTTAAGCTGAAGTAATCCAGTTTCTTACCAAGTCGCTTCTTCGGATCCTCTTCGGGAACAGCTTTCCGAAGACTTGCTATGCCTGCTGGCTCTTCCTCTATTTGGACTGGACTAGAGGATCCAGTGCTCCCTAGGGGGGTGGTATGGCCATTCTTTAATGTGGCATAATTTGGCTTTCCGGGATCCTCAGCACCTGTTAGAGGGAAGAAGTAGCAAAGTGATGGAATCAATGTGGTCAGGCAGGGAGAGGGACCAGTGATTTATCATCTTTTTATGCCTTTGCTCTGTCATTCTGTTTCAGCTGCTTTGAATCTAGACTTTCAGATCTAAATAATTCCTTTTTGCAATAAACATCTGACTGTCAATTATGTGGGAAATACTTTTCTATTATGAATATGGCAAATGAATAGAATTGTTACACAAAAGAAATTATAGTGCTAAATGTAAAGGGCTATAAAATGAAGTGTTATGGCTAGAAGAAGGAAAAATCATTCATTTGGGTATGGGAATGAATTCAGGAAAGCTCCACTGAAGGTGTTATCTGAACTGGCTCTGGAGGAAGCAGAGCCTGGCACACTGTGAAAGGTAATTCAGGAAAAAGAGATAGCATATATAAAAGTCTGGGATTATTCAACATGTTTCTGGGGAAGGTACTGGTTATTAGTTCTGACTGTTGCAGCCATTTGGGGAGTGAACCAAGAGGTGGAAGATGTTTCTCTCTGTGACTCTACCTTTCCAATTAAAAAAAAAAAAGGTCCTCACATTAAACTGGTAGTGAATGTCGAAATATCAAAACATGATGCTTGGACAATTAAAGTAGGGTAACAGTAGGAACATGGGGACAAATTTGTTCAAAAACAGAAATTGCAAATAGTACAGCAGTTGACACAATCCAGAGGAAGTTAAAGCAGAGAAATGTTCCAAGAATCCTTCATTAATCACCTCTCAATCTTACATTAAACCATAGAGGTGGGCCTGGTGCGTGGTAGGCTTGTGGCTAAATCCTTGCCTTGCATGTGCTGGGATCCCATATGGGCGCCGGTTTGCATCCTGGCTGCTCCACTTCCCATCCAGCTCCCTGCTTGTGGCCTGGGAAAGCAGTGGAGGATGGTCCAAAGCCTTGGGACCTTGCATCGTTGTGGGAGACCTTGAGGAAGTTCTGGGCTCCTAGCTTTGGATCAGCTCAGCTCCAGCCATTGCGGTTACTTAGGAAGTGAACCGGTGGATGGAAGAGCTTTCTTTCTCTCCTTTTTGTCAACTTACTTTCCAATGAAAACAAATAAATCAATAGTAATAAATAGGAAAAAATATCCAAATACTTACACTGAACCAAAGATGAAGAGGAAGTGCACAGAGACAAGCACGTGGCACTCATGAAACTCACCTTGCTCAGGGTCTTCCAGCAGAACCCCTCTTTTAACCAGCTCTTCTCTGGGTTTGCGCATAGATATTTTCCGTTCTAGAACTAACATTAAATTGTAAAACAGCACTCAGAAACTTGGCAGATAAAAGTTAACATTAAACAGCATTCTAACTCCGTGAGTAAAAGAAATAAAGTAGCTCAGGTTTCTGTTCTTAGGAATGAAAATATAGGGAAATGAATTTCAAAGTTAAAAACATTTATTCATAGTCAAAAACACTAGCTTTACATAACTGTAGCTTAATTGAGATTGTAATAATTTGGAATTTATGGATGAACTGTGAGTTAATGGGAAATGGGCAGAGCAGAAATGAAGAAGGACCTTAGGTTTGCTACAGTTCAGAGTTCACCCACTATTCACTAGTTAACTTTAATCCAATCAAAACACAAATCTGAGAAGGAAGCTATAAAATATAAGGCTCACTGAATGATCACTTGGTGCTTTAATTAAATTTCCTCCCCTAATACAATTACAGAAGCTTGGGAGAAGAATGAAAAGGGTATTTCTGAAATACAAAACTCTTAAAGCAAGAACCCATATTGAAATCTTAGTATCTCACCTTCTGATGTCTCTTTGAATTTATCACTACTTTTTTTTTTCCTCCATTTCCAGGGTTTGAAGATTTTGCCAAAGCCTGAGAACTTGCTTTTCCTTTTGGTGGGAGGCGTTGTGTCCCCAGCTTCCAAACTGCCCATGACCATGCCGGGATCTGCAGCGGTCTGGCCGGCTTCTTCTGTTGCATGGAGAGAGTCAGAGAGGGAAGACAGAAACTAGTTTATTCTTTCTGCATAACCTCCACTGGGCCCACCCCTCTTCCTGTGGTAGTTGGAAAGGGTCAGAGCACTGGTCATCATGCAGACAGACTCCTTGACATCACATGGACACCACACATCAAAATCCCTGACAAATACATCCCTAAGGATGAAAAGGAACCAAACCAAGCTGACGTCATCTTAAGACAAAAATTCACTGACATAACCAGAACCAGCTCAACACCTTTTGGAGGCGCACACACTCACACAACATGGAAGTCTTCCTAATGTGCATGAGATTAGCCATCATTAAAGCAGCAAACACTACCATTAGTGAGCGAATCATTATTATCTGCTAAACATTGCTTCTCCCTGCCTTTCCCAGGTCATAAATAGTTCAAATAGAAATAAATTAAAAAGTATAGATATAAATAGCTCAAGTATTAACACCTTCCTTGTATTTGTTTATTAGATTATTTTCTCCCTTCACAAAAAGGACCCTAGGAAGTTTTGCAGCACTAGGAAGTATTGAAATGGGATCCAAGGCACTAGAATGAGTACTTTAAACGGAGGAAATTGTTCTGGGCAAAGTAGAGGTGAGATTCCCGACAATCCTGAAATTAAGAACTGGACACAAAACCTAACTAACATAACACATGTGCAGGACTGAAATGCAAGGCCAAGAGGCTCTCACAAAGATCACACATGCAGGGCTCAGTGAGTTAGTTTTAATGGCAAAAAAAAGGAGCAGCCAGGGCAGGCCAAGAATAATAACACAAGAAAAAGCAGGAAGACAACAACAACAACAACAAAAAAGCAGGAAGGCAACACAATACAGCTTTGCACTCCACCTACTGTCCCAGGATTCTCTGGAGGAGTCTAGAGGGGAAGAAAAAAAGAGTTATGTGGAACAGCCATCCTGGAGCTACAGTGCGACTTCTTGTTCACAGAAATGCATGAAGGAATACATAATACAGTTCACAGCAGAAACAAGCAATGCCTTTGGGGAGGAGGAATAAGAGGCAGGTAATAAGAGCAGGCGTCGCAGCTCACTAGGTTAAACCATCCTTTGCAAACACCAGCATTCCACAGCAGAGCAACAATCTGAGTTCTGGCTGCTAATGGAAGCAGCAGAGGATGACACAAGCCTTGTGGGAGACGAGATGTGGCTATCTGAGGAGTTAACCAATGGTGGAAGATCCCCGCTCCCTCACGTGTGTGTCACTGCTTCCAAATAAAGAAATAGATACATTCTTTTGGGCAGCACTGTGGCATATGGGAGTGCCTGGTTTGAGTTCGAACAAGCTTCCTGCTGAGACACCTAGGAGGCAGTGACTGAGGCCCAAGTATCTCTGTTTCAGCCACTCAGATGGGAGACCTGGATAGAATGTCTGGCCTAGTTCTGGTTCTTGCAGCCATTTGGGGAATAAACCAGCTGGACAGACAATTACTCTCTCTGTCTCGTCCCTTCTAGCACTCTGCCTTTCAAATAAATCATAGAAGAAAATATTAATATTATAGATATATTTTAATTGGGGAATTATCTAAAGAACAAGGTCTTTTTTTTTTTTTTTTAAAGAAAACAGTGCCAATGTCACCCTTTTTTCAGTGGACAAATGGAAGCCCTAGACTTTCTTTTGGCAAAACCACTGAAAGAAAAAAAAAAAAAGGCTACATTGATATAATTCTAATTATTAGAATAATCATGGTGATAAGTGCTGAGTTGATGAGCTTGCTATGTACAAAGTAAGTTCCAGATTACTACTAAATGTGATAGCTTGTGTGACTGGACACAATCATTCTTAGTTCACATGCCTCATTCTAGGATCTCAACTATTTTAATTCTTTATATGAAATACACCAGAATTTCTGGACCATATTTCTATTTTTCATTATTTTAAAACACAGATTTCTTTACTCTAGAGGCAAAGAGAGAGAGATGGAGATGGCAAGAAAGAGATCTTCCATCTGCTGGTTCACTCTCCAAATGGTCACAAAAGCAGGGACTGGGCCAAGCTAAAGCTATGGACCTGGAAGCATGTCTGGTCTCCCATGTGGGTGGCAGCAGCCCAAGTACTTCAGCTAAATCTGCTGTTTTTCCAGGCACATCAGCAGGGAGCTGGAGCAGAAACAGAACTGCTGGAACTTAAACTGTGCTGATAGGGGATGCCAGCATTGCAGACATCAGCAAAATCCACTCCTCCACAATGCCACAGCCTGGGCCATATTTTCACAGGTTAGCTGTCAAAGACATCACAACTTCTGTCATTTGCCCTCACTTGTGTCATGGTATGGAACCCAGGAGCAGCACTGGGTCAAGCACATGGCATTACTTTTAAGAGTTTGTGCTTTGGGGCCCAGCGGCGTGGCCTAGTGGCTAAAGTCCTCGCCTTGAACATGCCGGGATCCCACATGGACACCGATTCTAATCCCGGCAGCTCCACTTCCCATCCAGCTCTCTGCTTGTGACCTGGGAAAGCAGTCGAGGACGGCCCAAAGCTTTGAGATCCTGCACCAACGTAGGAGACCCAGAAGAGGTTCCTGGCTCCCGGCTTAGGATCAGCGCAGCACCGGCCGTTGCAGTCACTTGGGGAGAGAATCATTGACAGAAGATCTTCCTCTGTCTCTCCTCCTCTCTGTATATCTGACTTTCCAATAAATAAATAAATCTTAAAAAAAGTTTGTGCTTTGATTAAAATGATATCCTGTCAATTATGGAATCTCAATGAGAACTGAAGAACTGATAACATACTACTTAACATAAGTTAATGGTAAGGCTTACAAAGACCAAGGTAACCTCAGAAATTAGCTAAGTCACAGAGGCTATTTGTTCTTAATAGCATTACTTGAGAATATAGGAGGGACTGAAACGTAATTTATTTTAATTTTTAAAAAGATTTATTTATTTTTTATTGGAAACTCAGATTTACAGAGAGGAGAAGAGAGAGAAAGATCTTCCATTCAATGGTTCACTACCCAAGTGGCCACAATGGTCAGAGCTATGCTGAGCTGAAGCCAGGAGCCAGGAGCCTCTTCTGGGTCACCTAAGCAGGTGCAGGGTCCCAAGGCTTTGGGTTGTCCTCCACTGCTTTACCAGGCCACAAGCAGGGAGCTGGAGGGGAGGTGGAACAGCCCTGATAGGAACTGGCACCATCATCGGATACTGGCAGATGCAAGGTGAGGATGTTAGCCACTAGGCTACTGTGCTGGGCTGGGCTGGGCTGGGGACCGAAATGTTAAATGTCTAGCTAACCCACTTAGTGTGTATCCTAACACACCCAGAAATGTTACTATTGCTTGGAAGTAGCTGGAAAAATAAAATCCATATAAAAATTACGAACAGTATTAATGAAGTTGTATTAATGCAATGTGATATTTTTATAAAGAAAAATGGTCCCAAAGCTTTAGAAACAGATTGAGAAGTTTCTGTCTGTAAAGTCTTTAAGTCTTTTTTTTTTTTTTTACAAGATTTATTTATTTTTATTGCAAAGTCAGATATATACAGAGAGAAGGAGAGACAGAGAGAAATCTCTTCCTTCCAATGATTCACTCCCCAGGTGACTGCAACGGCCAGTGCTGAGCCCATCTGAAGCCAGGAGCCCAGATCCTTTTCGGGTCTCCCACACGAGTGCAGGCTTCCAAGGCTTTGGGCCGTCCTCAACTGCTTTCCCAGGTCACAAGCAGGGAGCTGGATGAGAAGCAGGGCTGCCGGGATTAGAACTGGCATTCACACGGGATCCTTGCACATTCAAGGTGAGGACTTCAGCTGTAAGGCCAAGGTGCTGGGCCCAAGCATCATCTTCCAATACAATGACTGAGTTCATTTCAACTTTAATATACCGAGCAATACATTTAGATGTCAACTTTTTCTTGATTCAATATGACAACACAAATCATGGCATTTTTCCTATATATTTGAGTTTGCCTACAAATGAACTCAAACAAAATCTGCTTCTCTTAGAAAGTACATTGTGCAAAGGGCAGGTGCTTGGAGTAATGGTTAACATCTACTTCTGTTTCCAGATTCCTGTTAGTGTACAGCCTGCAAAGCAGCAGCTGATGGCTAAATAGTCAAGTCCCTGATGCCAATAAGAGAGACCTGAGTAGAGCTCCTTGCTTTAGTCTGAACCAACCTCAGCTCTTGCACTCATTTGAGGAGTGAACCAGCAGATGGAAATCTCTGTCTCTGCCTTCTAAATAACAACAAATAAAAGTACAGGCATGTGTAAAGACGTACTTACAATAAAATCTACTTTTAAAATAGTCCGCTTTCTTAAGTCATTGAATAATAAACAGAGAGCAGTGACTTTGCTTCCTCACATCCCTAAGCAAGTGTGTTTGATGTTCAAGCTTATAACGCCTTCAAGGTGTAAACGTGCAACGGGGTTCAGTCACCCCAAGCCCTGCCCTAGCGCTTATCCTTAAATCCTTCATTCATATTCTTATATTTCTCACTCCTTTCCCTCCATGACGAAGTGTAAACTCACGGGGTTCTAAATCTGTCCAAATACTTGGAATCGGCCCAACTGCTTTTTAAAATATGTAATATTCAGGATGTAGAACCCTCAAATCTGTTTTCAAAAATCATTCCAAGTGATTCTTACAGTCACCGGGGTTGTTAAACTCAACTCTAGATTACCTGTAAACCTCATGAATGTTAAAACAGATGGAAGGAAACATTCTTTTAGAGAAAACTGCCATTCCAAGTCCCCCTACTCCTACTCAAGAAGGTATTCCTACAAAGGAACTGTGAAGTCCTCTCTGTTGCTTAGTTTTAAATAAAAAATAAATGAGAAAAATTTCAGTTAAATTTGTCTAGGTTTATGTTATGTTTCGTGTGCACTTGAGAAGCAGTGTATTGTGCAATTGCTGGGTGCAGCATGCTAAATATACCAATTAAGACAAACTAGCTAAATTGCATTATATAAAACACTAATATTCTTTGATTTGTTGTCTATATATCAGTTACTGAAAGAGATAT